CCTGCATCATCTTCACCATCGTTATTCTGAATCTTTTTTCTGGAAGGTTGCCTATCTCCATTTAGTTGTTTTTCTGGAGTTGTATCTTGTTCCTTCATCTGGTACATAGCCCTCTGCCTTTTCACCTTGTCTTTCTTTCTGTGAATGTGGTTTTTGTTCCATAGGCTGCAGGATTGTAGTTCTTTTTGCTTCTGCTGTCTGCCCTCTGGTGGATTCTATTTATTTATTTATTCGTTTGGTTATGTTGGGTCTTAGTTGCAGCATGCAGGCACTTCGTTGTGGCATGCAGGCTCTAGATCGCGCAGGCTTAGTTGCCCCGTGGCATGTAGTATCTTAGGTCCCTGGCCAGGGATCGAACCTGGGCCTCCTGCATTGGGAGCACAGAGTCTTACCCACTGGACCACCAGGGAAGTCCCTGTGCTCCTGAATTTGAATTAGAAGAGTCAAAATGAACCTGATATATTTTTTTCTTTAAAAAATGATTTTACTAGCTCTGTCCCCTGAAATCGCTTATAGAAACAATGATCAACCTGGTAGTAGCAAGCACCCCAGCATTCAGATTGTGGTCACTCAATACCATTTCCTATAGGAACTAGGGCTTCTCAGAGTAATGGCTGGTTCTGTATCTAGGTCAGGAAAGTGTTTGATGAGCCTGGAACATCTTATCAGGACAGAAAACAGTATAGCTAGCAAAGACCTCTGGGATCAGCAGAGAGCGTCAGGAGCCAACCTGAAGATAAGAGTTTGAACCTCAGCGGGAATAATAATGAAAATTGATTCACACACACATAAAATCCATGAGTTCACAGTGATCCTAAAAAGTATGCTATTCATTGCTTACCTGCAGTGGATGCTCGGGAACCGTAAACGGAAGAGTCGAGCATTTATCTTTTTCTTTGCAAACTATACCTCACATCAACCAAATAGATAATGAGAAGATTTTTTTAATAGACATATCCCAGCTAACAAAACGAAGAAAGAATTTTAGACTATCACTGTTTTTCAACTCCTAATGAATTAATGGATCTAAGCAAGGATCCTGAAAAACTGCTAACAACTCCAAAAGAGCAACACCCAGACATTTAGAAGTTCAAAACAATACCCGTGCTCTTCTTGCCAAAAGAAAAGAAAACTGGACCTGAGTCCGATCAAGCCTCTAGGTCTGAGTACCAGTTTATAAGAAGTACAGGGGACAGAGGGACCTGTCAAGTGCACCACAGGCCTGCGGTAAGCACTGTCCTGAAGTGGAAAACTCCTCTTCAAGAAATCAACTGCAGTGTGAGACAGGCTGTAGGTTCAAGGAGACTTAGGAGAAATAGCAGGTAGGTGCAATGTATGGAATTTATGGGGCCCTTGATTCAAACCAAAAGAACTCTAGTAACAGTTTAAGAGAAAGTAAGGAAATTTGAACACTGACAGAATATTTGTTATTTACGAGTTCTTAGTTTTTTTAGATATTATAATTATGTAAGAGTTACATTTTTTAAAAGAATCTTCATCTTTTAGAGCTGAGTACTGAATATCAATAGATGAAATGATACCTGACATTTGCTTCAAAAGAATGTGAGGAGCGAGTCAGGGGAAGTGGGCGGCGCACAGACACAGGACTGGCCGCAGCAGGAGTTGAGGCTGGCAGTGGACACTTGAGGGTTCATTTTACTGTCCTCTGCACGTGTGTGAAATTTTCCATGATAAAACTTTTTTTTTAATTTTTTATTATTTTTTAATAAATTTATTTATTTAATTTATTTTTGGCTGCGTTGGGTCTTCGTTGCTGCACACAGGTTTTCTCTGGTTGCGGTGAGCGGGGGCTACTCTTCGTTATGGTGCGCGGGCTTCTCATTGCGGTGGCTTCTCTTATTATGGAACATGGGCTCTAGGCACGTGGGCTTCAGTAGTTGTGCACGGGCTCAATAGTTGTGGCTTGCAGGCTCTAGAGCACAGGCTCAGTAGCTGTGGCGCACGGGCTTGGTTGCCCTGTGGCATGTGGGATCTTCGCAAACCAGGGCTAGAACCTGCGTCCCCTGTATAGGCAGGCGGATTCTTAACCACTATGCCACCAGGGAAGTCCCCAAACATGTTTTAAATAAAATGTTTTTTTACCCTTTGTTACAAGCTGTAAATATTTACCCACGTTTTCATTTGCCTTTTAACTTTAATACATTTTTTTGTTTTGGGGTTTTTTTAGCTTTAAAAAAAGGTTTATTATTGACTTACTGCCAGCAAGTGATACATATCATAGGAATCCGACATTAGAGTGTCTCTGATAAGGTCTGGACTTGTGCTAGACGACTGTAAGGAGGGATACGGGCTAATTTTGGATCGGATGCTATCAAGAGTTGGGGGGCAGTTCAGTATCTTATTTATGTTTGTAAGTTGGAAGTGTGAAGAGGGACTAGAAATATCATTGGAAAGGCAGCAGTTACTTAGAGGAAAAGATGGTTAGTCATTTTGTGCCTGGGATGTGGCCTTGGGTAACTTTAGTGTTTTTTCGTTTCAAAGAACGGAAACCACAAAACTTTTCAAAGGTGCGATGTGTATGTCTTTCTTCTGTTCTATCCTGAACCCACTGCAGGCAGAGTCATTCCCCATGCCCACCCACCCCCATTCCCCCAGCTGAAACTGCTCCGTCAAGGCTGTCGGTGGCCTCCATGTTGCTGTGTCCAGTGAGCAGGTCTCGGTCTTCATCTTACTTGCTCTTTCAGCAGCAGTGACATACTTGATGACTTTTGTCACTTGCTTTGAGAAGACTGCAGCTCTTTAGGTTTTCTTCCCACCTCTCCGGCCTGCCTGTTCTCAGTCTTGTTTCCTCTTCTCTCTGCCTTCTGAGCACCTCGTGCTCAAGTCGTAGACGCCATAGTCATATGTATGAGCTCCTGATCTCTCAACATACTTCACTCACATTTCCCTTTTCTATTACAGTGGCTCCATTTTCTGCTTGCTTAGGCCAAAAACCTTGAAATTGTCTTTGATTCTTTTCTTTCTTACTTCAGAACCAGTGTTTCAGGAAATCGTTCTGGTTCTACCATCAAGATTTATCTGGGATCTGATCATATCTTATTCCTTCCACTGCTGTCACCCCTTCACCTCTCATCTGGATTATTCCAGCAGCTTCCTAACCGATCTCCTTCCTTCCAGCCTGACACCTCCCAGGGTGTGTTCTTATAAAGAAGTGGAGTAATCCTTTAAAGTGTAAGGTCAGTCAGTCCTCTGCACACAACCCTGCTCTGCTTTCCCATCTCACTCGGGGTGAGGGGGGGAGCCCCGAGTGACCTTGCAAGGCCCTGTGTGATCTGGCCCTTTGGTATTTTTAAAGAGAGAGTCTGACTATTACTCTCGCTCGCTCTACTCCAGCCGCGTTGGCCACTAGGCTGCTCCTCAAGCAGCCCTTTACACCGGCAGTTTCCTCTGTCTGGAACACAGTTAGGCTGAATGCTCAATTGCTTGTTTTTCTTAAATAATGGAGGCCTTTGAGACTGCAGTTTTCTTTGAATATGGCTTTGGTCCCATTCCCTGTTTTTTTTTTTAATAAATTTATTTATTTTATTTACTATTTATTTTTGGCTGCGTTGGGTCTTCGTTGCTGCACGCGGGCTTTCTCTAGTCGCGGCGAACGGGCAACTCTTCGTTGCGGTGTGTGGGCTTCTCACTGCGGTGACTTCTCTTGTTGCACAGCATGGACTCTAGGCGCACGGGCTTCAGTAGTTGCAGCACGAGGGCTCAGTAGTTGTGCCTTGTGGGCTCTAGAGCACAGGCTCAGCAGTTGTGGCGCACGGGCTTAGTTGCTCCGCGGCATGTGGGATCTTCCCGGACCAGGGCTCGAACCCATGTCCCCTGCATGGGCAGGCGGATTCTGAACCACTGAGCCACCAGGGAAGCCCCCATTCCCTATTTTAACATACTCTGTTGTCATTGTCATCATTTTCTAAACAATCTTTAATTCTAGAGTCTCTTTTATTTTTAATCAGACAAGTGATTGTGGATTTAGTCTTATTTTTTAAACTTTGGGGGGACTAAAAATCCCCCTTGGTCACCACCCTATCCTTGTCGCTTCCCCAGAAGTCACTGTTGTCATTGGACAGTATAATCTTATCCACATCAGTAGAGTGTATCCTTCCGTACCTTTGCCGTGTGTGTACCAATGTGTGGGTATGTATGTACGTGTAGAAATAAGAGCTTGACTTGTATGGTTTTCTTTAAAATCATAAATGGGATCCCAGAACTTTGTTTCACTAAAATATTTTAAAGATCTTTTAAGACCAGTGAATATAAATCTCTTTTATCCTTTTAGTTGTTTTAAGACCTCTCATAGTTTATTTAAATGTTGCCCTGTTAATGCAGGGATGTCTGGATTGTTGGCCGTTTTTCTCCTGAACCAAGCAGGGCAGCAGTGACCATCCTGTGTGCTGCTCCCTCTGCTCTGTTACAGTACAAAGGAAATTTTACATACTCCTTGGCCCGAAAGTTATTTAAGAATGTTTTTCCCCTCAAGAAGTTGGGAGTTTTTTTGTGACTATTTTTGTTTTGTTTCAACGTCTATTAATCGTGTCTCGTTTATTGAATTGTGCCATGAGCTCACAGTATGCATCGTTCTTCCCTCATGAGTTGACGTGTGACCAGTTGTTTCTTAGATGATAAATAAAAGCTAATCTCCTTCTCTAGGAGTCAGAGTTCTGTGAAATCAGCCTAATTAATCACATCTGGTCAAAAATACACTGTTAGTCCTCATAAGAAGGGAATCATACCGCAGTCCTGGAAGTGGATGAACTTTTAGATAGACCTGGTTGCGAACACTGGAAACTGGTTTTCCCTGCTGAGTCGGCGCCACGTAGCCCTTAAGAAGCGCTTGCTTAATCACTGCATCGTGTGTATCTTTATCTATTTGAGAATTACTAAATATAATCAGACTCAGATAGGCCCAGGGTCAAAAAAGAGTGTTTATCACAATACTGTAACTCAGATATAGAACAACTAATGAACATAGTTTTTTTTTCTTACAGTGTTTAAAGGTAATGCTGGAGAAATCTGGCCTATCAGGTAAGTTACAGACCATGATGATACGTAAGTTTATCCACATCCTTTACTTATAATACATTTTCTATAAGCCTAATGAAAACTTTTCAAACTTTCTTTTTCTCCAGGGTTGTCAGTTATGCTTTACATTTCTATACGTACATAATTCTCCTGTTTCTTTTTTGTAGGCTAAAAGAAAACTAGTTGGAGGTTAGCCTAATTCTAAGGAAAGAGAGCCTAGATAGGGAACAAGAAAGGTACAAAAGAGATACAGTTAAGATATAGACCCTCTGGAATTTCCTAGATCTTTTGCTGAATTTCTTTTTTTAACCTCATGGATTCAGAATTTCAATGCATTGTGTTTCAGGCCAGTATTTCTGTATATAGATTAGGGAATGTAATATGAATGAAAAAAGTAAACCCAGGGTGTCCTGAAGTGGCTACCCAGGTGGACCCACGGAGCAAGCTTGAGGAAGCACCACACTGCTTTCATTAGAGTGAGTGCTTGCCATTCTCTCCACCAGAGTGGAAGCATGGGGCTCCGTTATCTGGCAGGGACGTTCACTTGCTCAACTTCTAGGAGTTTCTGTGCGATGCCTCAGGTCATCTCGACAGTAGTCCTCCCATGCAGGGATCATCCCCCGTTCCCACTTTCCAGATGCTGAAAATGGTTAAACGGCTTACCCAGTGTTCCAGAGCAAGTAGCTAAGTGGCTCTGATTTCAGAACTCTGATTTCTTTCTACCATGCTCTGCTATGAAGTAATGGTGTTCACTCTTAACTTACTTTCTTTTTTTAAACAAACTTAGATTAAGTTAAATATCGATATAAATCTTACTGCATTTAAAACTAGAACCGATGACAAAAGAGGGTCTACAAAGAACAGTATTGGGATTCAAAACCTGTGGCCTGTGCAGGATAAATGTGAGGTCTGTGTTTCTTCGCTCGTCTGTAGCTTCTTTCGGTGGGTGGGGGGAGTTGACTGTTACAAAACTTTGCTAGTTTTTTAACCATCAGGATTTTCAACTTTTGCTTGGTTCCCTCTCCCCGAAAAAAGTTCTCTCCCCATGTCGTGAGTGTGTAGCAAGCATGCTGAAAAACTGAAATCTGATTAACCTTCGTAAATGTTCATTTGTACCAACTACACTGAAGCACTGTGCCGAAAGGACACGCTTCCGTTAGCTCGCTGCTGACTAGACAGGACAGGTTTGCCGTACATGGCATCAGTTGCTGAGCGATGTTAGCGTGTGTTTTCGTCCAAGACAGTGAAATAAAACTCAATTTCATGATTTTAGGAGGGATTCTGTGCTTATGTATGTACATCTGTCTATGCTTAACGTGTGATGTGGATGTGCTTGTGTACTTGTAAATAATAAAGGTGTAAGTAGATGTTGCATACTAGTACCAAGTCTTATTTTTATTTGCAAGTATACAGTTCTTGGTGGAATAGAGAGAAAATTAACCAAGTTGGGGCAATGACTTAATTTTTTTCAGGCCCTGGAAGAGATAATTTACTTTAAAAATTAGTTAATACTGGGCTTCCCTGGTGGCAGTGGTTGAGAGTCCGCCTGCCGATGCAGGGGACGCGGGTTCGTGCCCCAGTCCGGGAAGATCCCACATGCCGCGGAGCGGCTGGGCCCGTGAGCCATGGCCGCTGAGCCTGCACGTCCGGAGCCTGTGCTCCGCAACAAGAGAGGCCACAGCAGTGAGAGGCCCGTGTACCGCAAAAAAAAATTAGTTAATACTTACTAGATGATATCCCATTTGATATTCATTTATCCAGAAGGGTCATTCCTGACAAACTCTTAAAACATATTATTCTGAATTCTTTTTCATCTGATTTTGATTCCTTCATAGGAGATGCATGGCATTTACGGAAAATGGATTGGTGCTATGAAGCTGGGGAAGCTTTATGGGAAGAAGTAAGATTATTTCTGTACATTTCATTTGTAAAGTGACTGTGCTTATTTTGTATTTTCATAAGGACACCACCCTACTCATGTGAATAAATTCTAGAGAAAGCTTTACTTTTTTTTTAGGATATACAAATCCATATGGGGGTCTACTTTTTCCTTACTGCAGTTTTTTCACAGAGTCAGAGGGAAAGTTTCAGCTAAGTGGGAACATATCTGACATCTGTATTGAGCCCTCTTTTGATAAGAGAATATGTCTCTAGTAGTAGTTCTTCATTAACAGGCAGAGAACTACAGAGAACAAAAGACATTTGTACCAGTGAAAGAATTTGAAGATACACTCTGAATTTTGAAACCTGAATATGTTAATCTGAGAGTTTCTCTGTAAGTTAATGATGGCAGAATTCATCTTACCAATCAGTCACTTAGGCTCTGATTCAAACTGCATCTCTCAATCCGGCCCAGCCTCGTAGGGTAGACTTAGGAGCAGTGTTATCACAGGGTGTTTGCAATCTGGTTAATCTTACTTTAAAAAATTTTTATTGAAGTGTAGTTGATTTACAATGTTGTGTTAGTTTCAGGTGTACAGCACAGAGATTCAGTTGAATGTATATATTCTATTTTAGATTCTTTTCCATTATAGATTATTATAAGATATTGAGTATAGTTTCCTGTGCTGTACAGTAGGTCCTTATTGGTTATCTCTTTTATATATAGTGGTGTGTATACGTTAATCCCAAACTCCTAATTTATCCCTCCCCCCCTTTCCCCTTTGGTAACCATAAGTTTGTTTCTATGTCTGTGAGTCTGTTTCTGTTTTGTAAATAAGTTCATTTGTATCATTTTTTTAGATTCCACATGTAAGTGATATATGATATTTGTCTTTGACTTACTTCACTTAGTATGACAATCTCTAGGTCCATCTGTGTTACTGCAAATGGCATTATTTCTTTTTTTTAAATGGTTGAGTAATATTCCACTGTATATATGTACCACATCTTCTTTATCTATTCATCTGTCAGTGGACATTGAGGTTGTTTCCATGTCTTGGCTGTTGTATATCGTGCCACTGTGAACATTGTGGTGTATGTATGTTTTCAAATTAGCGTTTTCTCCAGATATATACCCAGGAGTGGGACCACTGGATCATATGCTGGCTCTGTTTTTAGTTTTTTAAGGAACCTCCATAGTGTTCTCCATAGTGGCTGCACCAATCTACATTCCCACCAACAGTGCAAGAGGGTTCCCTTTTCTCTACACCCTCTCCAGCATTTATTATTTTTTATTTTTTAAATAAATTTATTTATTTATTTTTGGCTGCATTGGGTCTTTATTGATGCACAGGCTTTCTCTAGTTGCGGTGAGCGGGGGCTGCTCTTCATTGTAGTGTGCAGGCTTCTCATTGCAGTGGCTTCTCTTGTTGCAGAGCACAGGCTCGAGGCACGTGGGCTTCAGTAGTTGTGGCACTCAGGCTCAGTAGTTGTGGCTCACGGGCTCTAGAGCGCAGGCTCAGTAGTTGTGGCGCATGGGCTTAGTTGCTCTGCGGCATCTTCCCGGACCAGGGATTGAACCTGTGTCCCCTGCATTGGCAGGCAGATTCTTAACCACAGTGCCACCAGGGAAGTCCCTCTAGTATTTATTACTTACAGACTTTTTGATGATGGCCATTCTGACTGGTGTGAGGTGATACCTCACTGCAGTTTTGATTTTCATTTCTCTGATAATTAGTGATGTGAGCATCTTTTCATGTTGGTTAATCATCTTATTGTTGCTCCAAGTAGCATCAAACCTCACAGTCCAAATCCATGGCCTTAGAAGTACAGCCAGAATAAAGCTTTGTGAGAAAGCTTACACAATTGTACTCACTCCCCTTTCCCCCAATCTTTATCCGCCTGCTTTCTGTTCAGTGAGACACTGGCATTGAACATCAACAGAGGTTGATCTAAAGCAGGGCCTTCCGGGAAACAGTCCTTGCTGTGTAACGGTCAGGGACAATACAGAGAGGCTCCTCTTGGGTCCTGGCCAGGAATTTGACTGCCTGGAGTAAAAAGTGAACCTCAAAGAATCTTCAGGACATACAGTTTGGATGTCAAAAGAGTGTATCTAGTCAAATGGTTTCCTTATTTTCTCCTCTTATTAATTCCCAAATCAGTATCAAACAGTTCATCTAAAAGCAAACTCATTACCCTCAGAACTAGCTCCGCTTCCCAGATTTGCTTCTTGTCTTTCCCATCCTGATCCTTTTCCGCCTGAAATGTGGCTTACGCTACTTACCTTACATCCGTCATGTTTGGTCTCAGCCTTCAATCAGTTTTTCCACTCCTTCTTGACCATTCCCACTGCCGGCCTCCTGGTTCAAGCCCTGTTTTCTTGTGGTTTTTTGCCTCTTACCTAATTTACTACAAATGGTTTCCTGAGCCCATGTGTTCCCCACTTCAGTATGTCACAAGTGTGGCAGCTTAGATTGATCTTTAAAAACCCCTTCGCAGAAATCTTGAGTGGCTTTTTTAAAGCAACTGAAAACTCTTTTTCTTCTGTTCCGCATCCCTTTGACCTGTGACCACCTCTCCAACCCAGTTTTCTTTCCGTTACTCTCCAGCAGATACCTCCCATTCTAGTTAATCTGGTCTCTTAGCTCTTCCCCAGCACAAGTCATACTGTTGACTTAACCTGGACTTCGCCGTGTTCTTCTTTCCCTGAGAAATTCCTTCTTGTTTCCTCTGGCTTTCCCAAATCCAGCCCATCTTTTGGGCTTAACTAAAATTTTATCTTCTGTAGATTAATCTGTCATTTCTTACCTCATCCATCTCCCTTTCTTTAATCTTTTACAGTTCATAATTATACAGTTTTAATACATAATGATATACTTTTTTATGGTTTTAGCTTATTTCTATTTCTTCAATATCTGCTTCATTATTCATTTACTTATTTCTTGAAAGGGTAATAGAGGCACAGGGTTTTTTTAAAAAGATCGAATGGTCTCTTTCTTCCTTTCAGAAGTCATAAGTGACAAAAAAGATTTTCACTTTCTGTATTCCCAGGATGCAGCACTGAAAGAGCTTATGCTCTCTTCTGGAGACACTTTGCTTTTAATTGAAGGAAAACTTCCTCCTCTGGTAAGATTTTGCTCCTGAATAGACATTTTGTAAATAACAGTTACTGTTTTATGATTGCAAGGATGATATGTTCTCATTGTGTGAAACTGGGGAAATACAATCATAAAGAGAATAGAGTACTTACCCAAAATCCTACCAATCAGACAGCTACCATATTTTACATCATTATATATTTTCTTCCTATAAAGTCAAATTGTATGTACAATTTTATTTCCTACTTTTTATATTTTACTTTTTAACCTGACCATAAAATCCAGAAACAATCATTATATCCAATATATGACTTACCACAGTTTTATTCACCTATATCCCTGTTGTTTGGATTTTAGCTTGTTTAAAATTTTTTGTTCTTATAAACAGTAATAAATATAAATCCTTCTTAAGACAATTCTAAAGATGGAATTAACAAGCCAAATTGTTTTCCCAAAGAGTCGTACCAAGTTTACAGTCCTAATGTGTGTCTGTGAGAGGGCTCACACCACTGCTCTTCCATAGACACTGTGTATTACCACTTGGAAAAGCCATTACTTATTAGTTTGTTTTTGTTTTAATGTGGACACATGTAAAGATGAAAATGACCCAGAATTCCAGCATTCAGATAATCATTTGCTTATGATTAGAAAACTCAGACAGTGTAGAAGCCTATAAAATGATAAACAGAAGTTTCTCCCATATCTTTCTCTCCAGAAAGAGCCACAGTAAACTTATTTTTCCTTGTGTATCCTTCCAAGAAAAAAATTATGCCTGTTTGTATGCTGAATGTAAATATGTGTGTATCCTTTTCAAAGTTTACATAAAGGGGGTCATATTCTATGCACTGTTTTATACCTTTCGTTTTTTGTTTGTTTTTATTCATTTAATATAGCTTGAGGATCTCACATCAGCACATACAGACCTACCTTATTCTTTTTCATGACTTCATAGAATTCTGTTGTATTTTATACTGTGCTCTTTAAAGTTAATTTTTGAATTGATAATATTCATGATACAAAATTCAAAGTGTATAAAAAGCTGGGCCAGGAAAAGTATCCCCCATCCCTCCTGTCCCCCTGCCACTTGGGGTCCTCCCTCCACAGGCAGCCAGCTTCCTCTGTATCCTTCCAGAGGCACGTGCTTATTAAATTTAATGCACACACACACGTATGTATGTGTATATACATATTTTTATTTACACAAATGATTATAAGCTTGACACCCTATTCTGCACCTAGCTTTTTTCATTACCCCCATATACATGCCACATCAGTACCCATGAAGTTATCTCGTTCCATTTGACGTATATGGAGGTACCGTGATTTATTTTTTAACCAATCTCTTTTCAAAGAATATTTAGGTTGTATCCAGTCTTTTGTCAATACAAATAACACTGCCAAAAATATCATTTATTTGCCATTTTGCACATATGTATCTACAGGATATTCCTAGAATTGAAATCGCTTTGTCAAAAGTTATGGCCTACCGTAATATAACTAGTCTTCTGAAGAGGGACCTTGAGGTTGTTTCATGGTTTTTGCTACCATAAACAATTTACAGTGAATATCTTTGTATGCATGGGCTAGTATATCAGAAGGTAAAATCCTAACCATGGAATGGCTGGGTCAGAGGGCTTGGGCATTTAAAATTTTGACAGCACCAAATCACCATCCAGAGACTTTGCAGCAGTTTCTACTCCTGGAACCAACATATAGGAGCTCAGGTTTACTTTCAGTTTCACCACTGTAGAATATTATTAGACTTTCTGGTTTTTGACAGGTGAAAAAAAATGGAGTTTTTCCTCTGATTTACATTTATTTATTTACTGCATGGAAGTTGAGTATTAATCTTCACCAATTTGATAAACAGAAAAATATTCTCATTTTAATATGCATTTCCTGAAATACATATTTAAAATACTTTACATGTTTTTTTTCACATTCTCATCTTCTGTTGTTGGAAATTGCGCACTGTAATAGCAACTGATCTTTCATTGAGTAAATCTGTTCAAGTTCTTTACCCACTCAAAAAAGGGGTGGGGAAGAACCAGTTAAATTAGTAAAACTGAAATCACAGAATGTGTTTAAGGAGTTGAGTTTATTTCATGTAGTTGGTATATAGGAATGCACCTTAGATCAATAGGTTGTTGGTCTCTATAAAGTTCCTTTAGAAACTTTTATAAATAAAAACTGCATGTAACTGGTGCATTGTGCTATGGTGCTCTTACAATGCCTGAAAACATTTATATCGTTTGTTCTGTCAAATGTTTTGTTAGTTTGTTTATACTTTTCACTTACTGTAGCTACTAAGATATAGAACAGGAACTTCCCTGGTGGTACAGTGAATAAGACTCCGTGCTCCCAGTGCAGGGGGCCCGGGTTTGATCCCTGGTCAGGGAACTAGATCCCACATGCATGCTGCAGCTAAGAGTTTGCATGCCACAACTAAGGAGCCGTGGAGCCACAACTAAGGAGCCAACGAGCCAAAACTAAGACCCAGTGCAACGAAATTTAAAAAAAAAGAAGATATAGAACATTGGTCCCAGTCATCCTAAAGACTGACTTTTATGATTTTAAACTTTGATTGTAAAAACAGTAAGCAAGTATAATACATGACAGTTAATACATACATCTTAAGGAAAAATAAATTCAGGAACATATTCTATATCAAGATGTTTCTTTCTGGGAATTCCCTGGTGGTCCAGTGGTTAGGACTCCTTGCTTTCACTGCCGAGGGCACAGGTTCTATCCCTGGTCAGGGAACTAAGATCCCACAAGATGCCTGGCATGGCCAAAAAAAAAAGTTTCTTTCTGTGGAAGTAGAAGTTGACTTAATCTGTGTGCATCACAACAGTTGGAAATCTCCATTCCTCAGGGTTTCCTGAAGGTGCCCATCTGGTGGTACCAGCCACGGGGGCCATTGCATCACTGGAAGAGTCATCAGGACCAGACTAACTGTACCTTTTCTCAAGGCGGGGTCTGGAGAGCTAATTCCATCCAAGGTGAGAACACAACAGAATTATAGCAGCCAGTGTGTCATAAAGAAAAGTAAAATGATTGCTTCTGCTGAGAGGCAACTGAAATACGTATTTTTAAAATATAAGGTTGAAAATCAAAATCTATTCCATAATTCATAGTATAATAATAATACTATCCTATTTTTATACAGTGGTTTGTAACCTCTATAAAATACCATCTTTTTTTTTTTTGGCTTTACCTTTCATTTGCCATCTGTTATTTTTATTATCATTATTATTATAGCAATATATTACATTTTTTCAAGGAATTGTTATATAATATCACCTCTCAAGTGCCTCATGGCAGTAGGAATAGCGGCCCCAGTTATTGTAACAGACTAAGACATTGATGCTTTAGTCGCTTCCAGCGTCTTCACTGCAGCCCCAAGGGGCGGAGAGGCAGGGTTGGAGTCCGGACCCCACGCAGCTCCTGTTCTTTCTGCTGCCGCCACCCAGGAGCTCCTTCAAGGGCGTTCCAGCTCACTGACTTCTGAGAAGACTCACAGACAGGGTATAAACATTGTTTCACTCTGTCTAAGTTTCTTCTCCACAGGCAGAATTCAGCACACATGTCATGATGAGCAAAGGCAGGGAGTTTGAATTGCCATTGTAAAAAGTGGGTTTCCACTTCATTATAAGAAGACACAAGTTAATCTCCTTTGTAACTGTAGATAAAGAGAATATATTTTTAGTAGGACCAAGTTCTTATATTTTTTTCCTTTTATCATGCTTAATTATCTAGCTTTTTTAATGCCTTGAAGTATTATATACTTACATTTCTTTTTATCTTTCAAAATTCAGTACTGAAACTAACATAAATGATCTCCTTACTTTTTGAAGTTAGGATTATATGTATAGAGCAATAAAATACTTCATGTTGAATTAGCTATGAAATTGGCATTAAGTTATTTTTTGTTTGAGTTATATTAGACATGTTAAACAATTCTAAAAATGGTTTTGTGATAGAATAATAGTTACAACCTAAAAAGCGGTGTGCTTCTCCATGAAAGTAAAGGAAACAGTTCATTTTTTTGGTAGTCCTTCTGTATCACAACATACGGCAAATATTTTTATTTCTGAGAATGTCCTAAAAGTGTCTTTCAGGTAGTACCAGCTTACAGCATCCTTAGACACAAGAAGAACCACTCATGAAGAGAGCTTTTTTACTTAATTTACTTAATTAATTTCCTATTATGTATTAGCAGTATGCCCAGCAGTAAGCAAAGACATTTAACTAAAGCAAAAATGAGTCAAATTACTGATTTCAAATTTAGTTATCAACTTTTATATCCAGAGTTTTATATGAGAGCATTTTGTTTTCCCCTTTTTAAAACTAATGTGGAAAGGCCTTCTTGTTGCCAAGAACTCTTTCAGTCAACATTGATTGGACATCCATTGTGTGGCACCCACCATTCCTGGCACTGGAGAGACAGACAGGATAGATGACCTGTTCTCTCTTGAAAATCATATTCTGTAGGGGAGACAGGTTAGGTTAAAATATATATATGTAAAAAAACACATGTATACACACACATAAGAAAACAGACAGACAAAAGAGTAACAAGTTGGGACAAGTGTTATGAGAGAGAAACAGGTTAAATAAAAGATGAGAGCAGGGCAGAGTATCCAACCAGCAGAGTCCTCTTTGAGGAAGGAGAGGGTGTGGGAAAGAGCATTCCAGGTAGACAGCCCAAGTGTAAAACTCCTCAAAGCCATTCTAGTGAGAAGACCTGGTGCTGTGCCCACAGCGTGCTCCCTGGCTGCCCATCTACTGGGCCCTGCTTCCTCCCCGTGAAGTCCTGAGGGGCTGACCCGAGGAATTCAGATTCTGAGTTGCTTGGATGGAATTGTACTAAACCCGTCTGCAGTATCAAAACGTGGCCTGTATTTCAGAAATCAGAGCTAAGTACGTCTAAAGCTCCTGTCAAACATCTTGCTCTGTCCTTTGTAGATGCTCCCAGTGACGCGCATGCAGAAGTTTCCCTCCGCTACTTGGGAGACGTTGAAATCTCAGAAGATGCTACGTTGGGGGAGCTGAAGTCTCAGGTCAGCCTTCCTCCTGCAGCGCGTACCTTACTGGTGATCTGGCTGCTTCCAGTGAGATATTAATATATTCTTCTATTTCCTCTTCCCTCAATTACAGTCTGTTCTCATAGGGCATGTGTTATATGCCATGTTCAGTGGTGAGTACCCAACAGGCCACACACACATATTGCTCAGACAGCTCCCTGGGTTTGCTTCTACCAGTTGCCTGTGGCTTTCATTTATCCCCTCTCTGACAGGCATGCTGTGCTTTCATTTGAAATCTCCTCAGTGACTTGCAGCTTATGTTCATTTTGATTTTTTAGGGAAACATTTGTTGGAACATTTGTAAAGCATTCACTTTACTCCTTTATTTACATTGTTTTTGTGTCATTGTGATTCACGTGTTAAATGTTGTTAGTAAAAGCTGTGTGGTCAGTTGCCCAGGAGGTCAGAATATCAGCTTTATGTTAAACTAGATAATGTATTGTTTTCCTGGACATTAATACTCACAGACACAGTGTTCTGTCCAAATGGAAAGGCCGGGTTGAATACAACACACAATGCTTAAGAAGCATCTTATTCTCATTGGATTAAAATGAACATCCCTTCTTGCTCTTAAAGGAAACAGTGTAGGTGCATGTAAGGTGAATATCAGTCATTGATTGACTTCTGTGTGTCCTCAATATCTGAAATACCTTCCACAAAAAAACAAATGGTCTTATTCTAAAAAGAACAAGTAGAAAGAGACTTTTTTTCTTATATTAGATTAAAAGATACAAAATTGCTGTTTCTAGATTTAAAACGGATGAATATTGGCCATTTTATATACTACAGCCTAAGTATATAAATAGTTATCCACCCCTACAGAATTAGTCCAGCGGTTTGGGCCTAGCGTTTGGATCCAGAGATTCTGAAATATTTCAAAATCAGAAGTTATTTCCATGGCAGAGGAAACTTTGTTGAATTATATGAGCACAGATGGAAGTTGAAGATGAGTCCTTGCTTTTATTAGAGAGGCCTCTGCTCTTGAGTTATATAGTCATATGGAAATTAATTTTAAAGTTTCATTTTCTAAAACATAATCATTGAAAAGGAGCTTTTGGCTCAGATTTAGAAACAGAAAAATCTCTCAGGCTGATTTCAGTAGAGAGGAATACAAAAATTACTGAGGGTTAATTTCATTTAAATGATATTCCTGTGGATTTTTTGGGTAGATATTATCATTACCTAAGATACTCTTTCCCTTAAATGTCATTGTGTAGCACTTCATTTCTTTTTCCTAAAGCAGTCTGTTTTTAAGAGTGCTTTTTCCAATGTCTGTTTCTTTTCTAGGCCATGACCTTGCCCTCCTTCTCGGAGTTTTCCATCCCATCGCCCGCCTTCCTTAGAGCCTGGACGGTGGAAAGTAGGCGCCCCGGCAGGCTCTTACGAGTCCACTATCAGCGGCTCAGGTAGGGTTCTCAGTGAACACTCCACAACAGCCCGTTCTAGGTCATTCCACATTTGTCATGTTGATGATACTTTTTATCATAAATTAAACTCTGAGACAACTTCAGTGTCTCATATTAAGTATAAATGTAGTTTCATCTGTTTTTACTATGGTCCAGAGACTGTGAACAAAATTTTGATTGTTTTTTCCCCCCAGCTTTATTGAGATATAATTGCCATATAACACTGTATAAATTTAAGGTGTACAACCTATTGGTTTGACAGACGTATAATGCAGAATGATTACCACCGTAGCATTAGCGAACAACCTCCATCATCACATCATATAATCGCCATTTCCTTTTTGTGAGAACATTTAAGATCTACTTTCTTATTAGCAACTTTCAAGTATATAATTCAGTGTTATAAGATGAATATGTTCTGGGGATGTCATGTACAGCATGTTGATTATAGTTTATAACTGGAAGTATGTACCCTTTGACCAACATCTCCCCTTTTCAGCCAGTCCCAGTCCCTGGTAACCACCATTCTAGTCCCTGTTTCTATTAGTTCAGCTTTTTTAGATTCCACATATAAGTGATATCGTACAGCAGTTGTCTTATCTCACTTAGCATAATGCCCTCAGTGTCCATCCATGTTGTCTCAAACAACAGGATGTCCTTCTTTCTTATGACTGAATGATATTCCTTTGTGTGTGTATGAGTGTGTGTACACATACATACATATACCACATCTTTATCCATTCATTGGTTAACAGACACTAGGTTTTTCCATATCTTGCCTACTGTGCATAATGCTGCAACGAACATGGGAGTGCAGATAATCTCTTTGAGATCCTGTTTTCATTTCCTTTGGTGAGGTACCCAGAAGTGGGATTGCTGGATCATATGGTAGTTCTATTTTTAATTTTTTGAGTAACCTCCATACTGTTTTTCCATAGTGGCTGAACCAATTTACATTCCCACCAGCATTGAACAAGGGCTCCCTTTCCTCCACATCCTCAAAAACACTTGCTATCTCTTGTCTTTTTGATGATAAGCATTCTAACAGGTGTGAGATGATACCTCATTGTGGTTTCGATTTGCATTTCCCTGATGATTAATGATGTTGAGTACCTTTTCATGTACCTGTTGGCCATTAGTATGTCTTCTTTAAAAAAAAAAAAAGTCTGTTCACGCCCTCTGCCATTTTTAAATCAGATGGTTTGCTTTTTGCTATTGAGTTGTATGAGTTCTCTATATACTTTGTTTTTTGTTGTTTTTTTTTGCGGTACGCGGGCCTCTCACTGTTGTGGCCTCTCCCGTTGCGGAGCACAGGCTCTGGACGCGCAGGCTCAGCGGCCATGGCTCACGGGCCCAGCCGCTCCGTGGCATGTGGGATCTTCCCGGTCTGGGGCACGAACCTGTGTCCCCTGCATTGGCAGGCGGACTCTCAACCACTGCGCCACCAGGGAAGCCCTCTATATACTTTGAATATTAACCCCTTAGATTTGCAAATACTTTCTGCTGCTTCATAGGTTGCCTTTTCATTGTGTTGATGGTTTCTTTTGCTGTGCAGAAGCTTTTTATTTTGATGTAGTCCCACTTGTTTATTTTTGCTTTTATTGCTTTTGCTTTTGGTGTCAAATCCAGAAAATCATTGCCAAGGCTGATGTCAAGGAGCTTACTCCTCTGTCTTCTTCTAGGAGTTTTACAATTTCAGGTCTTAACGTTCAAATCTTTTAATCTATTTTAAGTTGATTTTTGCATAAGGTGTAAGATAGGGGTCTAGTTTCATTCCTTTGCATGAGACTGTCCAGTTCCCCCCAGCACCACTTATTGAAGAGACTCTGTTCCTCATTGTGTGTTCTTGGCTCCTGTGTCATAAATTAATTGACGATATATGCATGCGTTTATTTCTGGGCTCTCTATTGTGTTCTTTTTTTTTCCTTTGGCCATGCTGTGTGGCATGTGGGATGTTAGTTCCCTGACCAGGGATCGAACCCATGCCCCCTGCAGTGGAAGTGAGTGAGGAGTCTTAACCACTGGACCACCAGGGAAGTCCCTCTTTTGGGTTCCACTGATGTATGTGTCTGTGTTTATGCCGGTACTATACCGTTTTACTATAGCTTTATAGTATAGTTTGAAATGAGGGAGCATGATGCCATCAGCTTTCTTCTTCTTTTTTTTTGTTTTAATTTATTTTTATTTATTTTTTGGCTGCGTTGGGTCTGTTGCTTCACGCGGGCTTTCTCTAGTTGCGGCGAGCGGGGGCTACTCTTCGTTGCGGTGCGCGGGCTTTTCATTGAGGTGGCTTCTCTTGTTGCAGAGCACAGGCTCTAGGTGCGCAGGCTTCAGTAGTTGTGGCGCACGGGCTTAGTTGCTCTGCGGCACGTGGGATCTTCCCAGACCAGGGCTCAAACCCGTGTCCCTTGCATTGGCAGGCGGATTCTTTTTGGGTTTTTTTACATCTTTATTGGAGTATAATTGCTTCACAATGGTGTGTTAGTTTCTGCTTTATAACAAAGTAAATCAGTTTATACATATACATATGTTCCCGTATCTCTTCCCTCTTGCGTCTCCCTCCCACCCTCCCTATCCCACCCCTCCAGGCAGTCACAAAGCACCAAGCTGATCTCCCTGTGCTATGTGGCTGCTTCCCACTAGCTATCTACCTTAACGTTTGGTAGTGTATATATGTCCATGGGCAGGCGGATTCTTAACCACTGCGCCACGAGGGAAGCCCTGTTCTTCTTTCTTAAGAAAAGATTGCTTTGGCTATTCAGGGTCTTTTGTGGGTCTATACCAATTTTAGAACTGTTTTTTCTGTTTCTAATTGAAAAATGCTTTTGATATTTTGATAAGGATTGCACTGAATTTGTAGATTGTTTTGGGTAGTATGGACATTTTAACAGTGTTCTCCCAATCCATGACGATGGAATAGCTTTCCATTTATTTGAATCTTCAGTTTCTTTCATTAGTGTCTTATAGTTTTCAGTATACAGATCTTTTACCTCCTTGGTTAAATTTATTCCGAAGTAGTTTATTCTTTTTGATGCTGTTGGAAATGGGATTGTTTTCTTAATTTCTCTTTCTGATAATTTACTGTCGGTATATAAAATGCAGCTGATATTTATATATTGATTTTGTATCCCACAACTTTACTGAATTCATTTATTAGTTTTAACAGATTTTTGGTGGAGTCTTTAGAGTTTTTTATAAATATCATCATGTAATCTGCAGATGGAGACAACTTTACTTCATCCTTTCCAGTCTGGATGCCTTTTATTTTTTCTTCTTGTCTAATTGCTCTGACTAGTACTTCCACCAATGTGTTGCATATGAGTGGCAAGAGTGGGCATCCTTGTCTTATTCCTGATCTCAGAGGAAAAGATTTCAGCTTTTCACCATTGAGTATGATACTAGCCATGGGCTTTTCATATATGGCCTTTATTGCATTGAGGTACATTCCCTCTATATCCAGTTTGTTGAGAATTTTTAGCATGAAAGAATGTCAAATGCTTTTTCTGCATCTGTTGAGACGATCATATGATTTTCTTCCTTCATTCTGTTAACGTGGTTGTATCACACCAATTGATTTGCGAATGTTCAACCATCTTTGCATCCCTTGCAGAAATCCCACTTGATCATGGTGTATGATCCTTTTAACGTACTGTTGAATTTGGTTTGCTAATATTTCTTTGAGAATTTTTGCATTTATGTTCATCAAGGATATTGGCCTTTAATTTTCTTTTCTTATAGTGTCCTTGTCTGGTTTTGATATCAAGGTAATGCTGGCCTCATAAAATGAGTTTGGAAGTGTTCCCTCCTGTTCTGTTTTTTTTTTTTTTTTTTTGCAAGAGTTTGGGAAAGATTGGTATTAATTCTGCTTGTAGAATACATCAGTAAAGCCATCTGGTCCTCAACTTTTTTTTGTTAGGAGGTTTTTGATTACTGATTCAATCTTTTTTTTTCCTTAATAAATTTATTTTATTTATTTATTTTTGGTTGCGTTGCGTCTTTGTTGCTGCGCGCAGGCTTTCTCTAGTTGCGGCGAGTGGGGGCTACTCTTCGTTGCAGCGTGCGGGCTTCTCATTGCGGTGGCTTCTCGTTGCAGAGCACAGGCTCTAGGTGCGCAGGCTTCAGTAGTTGCAGCACGTGGGCTCAGTAATTGTGGCTTGCAGTCTCTAGAGCGCAGGCTCAGTAGTTGTGGCTCACGGGCTTAGTTGCTCCGCAGCATGTGGGATCTTCCCGGACCAGGGCTTGAACCCGTGTCCCCCGCATTGGCAGGTGGATTCTTAACCACTGTGCCACCAGGGAAGCCCCCGATTCAATCTTCTTACTCATAATTAGTCTGTTCAGAATTTCTGTTTCTTTATGATTCAGTCTTGGTAAGTTGTATGTTGTATGTTTCTACATACAATGGAATTTATCCATTTCTTCTGCATTGTCCAGTTTTTTGGTGTATAATTGTTCATGGTAGTCTCTTAAATTTTGAGTGTTCTTATATGGTATAATATTTCACTTAAGAATACTTGAAATTGGTTAAGAAAAAAACTTTGAAAAAATTAAGTGATATGTCATTCAATATTATTTTGTTTCATTTGTTATCAGGGAATATAAATTGGGACAGAGAACTGAGATCTGCTTAGAGCCCCTTCAGAAAGAAGAAAACCTGGGGTAAGATGTCCTACTACACATACAAAATTATACACTTGTCTGATCCCAATGGATAGTTTTACTATTGATTAAGGTGTTACATTTTTTAAGTGTTTTTTTCACTGCTTCTAAGGAGTCTGGCAACTTAAAACAGATTGTGTTCTAGAAATGTGTTTGTATGTCTGGTGTCTAGATCTTAGAACTCATTTTTCCATAAAAACAGAATTTTTCAGTAAGTCCCAATGCATGTTGAACCCATAATGATCTTGAAGTATAAGCAAGATGCTCATCCCAAGCTCTTACCAGTGCCTGCAGACAGTCTGTTGTCAAACCAATTGATAGTAACACCTGACATGCTGCCCCTTGTCCTACTTTTTTCATCCTAATATCACCTGACATACACTTATTGAATTATCAATTATTATCCGTCTCCCACTACTAGATTGTAAGTTTTGTGAGGGCAAGCACTTCATTTTTTGGTCACTGCTGCCTCCCCAATACCTAGGACAGTGCCTTTGTCATAGTCAGTAATTATTTATGGAATAAAGAAGCACCCCAAAGTTGTCCACGTTCAAACCTACCTATTCTTTTTTTCATTATAGGACATTCTTTTATAAGACATTTTTGTCAGTAACACCAAATATTAAGATTCTTTTACCTGATGTGACACGATGATTCTTGTTGTCCTCCTGTTGTGTAACAACTCTACTCTTTCAACCGTGTGACCTTCATTTTATCCCACTGTTTTATAAAAATGCATTCTTAATGCAAATTGTATTACTAGGAGTAGTTTCCTGGAGGGGAATTTCTGGATCAAATGGTATGGACATTTTAAACCTCTTATTTGTTAAATTCCTTTCCAGGTAAGTTATACCATTATGTTTCCACAAGCTGTGTTTCTAAGTATTTATTTCACCTCACCATCAAACCATCATTGAATGTTGTCATTGTTTAAATGTTTGCTAAATTGATAAATGAAAAATGGTTATCTTGTCTCATCTAGTAAGATTAGGGTGTTTGTTGAAAGGCTTGTAAACCATTTGTATTTTGTGAGTGAGTGAATTGTTTCATATATTTTCCCTGTTTTATTTGGGGTCTTAGAAAAAAGTCTAATTTGTGTGAGCTTTCTATAGTATAGATTATATTACATAATATAAACGGACCCTCTGTCATGTTTGTCGTGAGCAGTGTCCTTTTGAAGGCCATGCTGTGCACTTCCTCAGCCCCCTTCCCCGCTTCTGTCCTTGACTGACCTCCGGAGCACTCTTGCCCCCGCTCAGCGAGGACCCTGGCTCCTCGTGGTCTTCACCCAGACTCTGTCACCTCCTTGGCAGCTCCTGCATCTACACTGACCACAGTTTGTATGCTCTGGGACCTCAGCTCTGCTCACTGACCTCAGCAACACCTACACCCTCTCAAAAATTCCTTCTTGACCACAGTCCCCCGCTTTCAGTCCAATCTCCTAACTCACTGGGCCCTCGCTCTCCCTGCGTTGCCTGTTTCCTCCAATTGTGTTACCCTTTCTTTTGATAAAAACACTAGTATAATAGAAATACAGCATTAAAATCGTTCATTGTCTCACCATCCTCAAAGTTTTCATTTCTCCTCTCCACCTTCCAGTTCTTATCTGTAGCTTTTATTTCACATCCTATCTAAAACAGTCTCCATACGTCTACATTTCTTTCCAACCTTTCTGAATGTTTCTCCTCTTTCTCTTCCTTCAAGGACCTCGTATCTGTGCTCATCTCCTGCAAAGGTTTCCTTTGCTCTTACAACTACACCCATCATCTTCTCTTCCTAACTCTGAGCCCTCCGTTTCTTCTCCCTGGCTAAGTTTTCTGCCAGCTTCACAGATTCTGGTTCTGAAATCAGTGTTTCCTAGGAAGTCGCCATAGTGGGAAACCCCTCTTCCCCTTCATCACCGGGATAGCCCTGCCGGCCCTTTCAGCTCTGTCTCCAGTCCTCTTCCCTGCATGCCCCACTGAGGAACTTCTTCCTCTGCCTTCAGCCTTGCCTGCTGCCTCCCCAGGGACCCTGCTGTGGACTCAGAATGGGAGCTCACCTCCATTCTGGGTCAGGACTGAAGGAAATCAAAGTAAAGGTTTCCCACTAGCATTCAGGGTTTAAGGAAAATCTCTCCTTATAAAAAAACTCAGAAGAGTCAGAGGAGAAGCTATGTGGTTATTGCGTGTTTCCCGTTTTGTTGTAAATCTGACGTGACTGTTTTCTGATGCAGCCCCCAGCATGTGCTGCTGAGGACACAGATGCGCCTCCCTGGCAAGAGGGCATATGCCTTGCCCGTGGACTTGGTGTGGGACACTGCCCGAGGCTGGACGGCCGGCTCCCTGAGGCACCGAGTGGCCGATTTCTATTCTCTTCCTGTGGAGAAAATTGAAATTGCCAAATACCTTCCTGAAAAGTTTGAGTGGCTTCCAGTACCTAGCTGGGTAAAGCTGTGGGGCTCCCTCAGGGAAATCGGGCCTCACTGGCATAGTGAATAATTAACTGCAGTTTTCCACAGACAGGGAATTTAGTAAGAATTTGAGATTGAGTTTTCTTTATTCAAGATACTTAATTTTTCTGTAGAACCAGCAAATTACCAAGAGGAAAAAGAAGAAAAAGCAAGATAATTTGCAGGGGGCGCCTTATCACTTGAAAGATGGAGATACTATTGGCATTAAGGTACGTTTTTAACAGTAAACTTAGCACTTTGACAAAACACCAGAATCAAATGATTTTATAGACAAGTTTTATCAAATCTTCAAGGCATAGATAATCCCATTTAATATAAATTGTTTCAAATAGCGGGGGGAAAAAAGAGGGAAAGCAGACAACTCATTTTTAAATAAATAAATAAATAAATTTTATTCACGGGCTCTAGAGCGCAGCCTCAGTAGTTGTGGCACACGGGCTTAAGCTTCGCGGCATATGGGATCTTCCTGGACCAGGGATCGAACCGTGTCCCCTGCATTGTCAGGCGGGTTCTTAACCACTGCACCACTAGGGAAGCCCCCAGAGAACTCATTTTATGAGGCCAGTAGAACCTCAATACCAAAAGCTTAATTTTGGGTCTGACTTCAATGAAAATGCTGTGAAGTTTTATCACTAAGTGTGTTGCTGTAGGTTTATTTTAGGTACCTGTATTAGGTTAAGACATTTCCTTCCATTCCTAGTTTACTCTAAGTTCTTTTTTTTAAATCATGAATGAGCACTGGATTATTTTTTTTTTTTTGCGGTACGCGGGCCTCTCACTGTTGTGGCCTCTCCCATCGCGGAGCACAGGCTCCGGACGCGCAGGCCCAGCGGCCATGGCTCACGGGCCCAGCCGCTCCGCGGCATGTGGGATCTTCCTGGACCGGGGCACAAACCCACGTCCCCTGCATCGGCAGGCGGACTCTCAGCCACTGCGCCACCAGGGAAGCCCTGGATTTTTAAATATTAAATTTTTTTAAATGTTAAATTTTATTCTGTGCTTTTTCTGCATCTGTTTAATTAGCTATATCGTTTTTCTTCTTCAATGTGGTAATGTAGTGTTATTACATAAACATGTTTGCAACACCGAGCCATCCTTGCATTCCTTGGACAAACCTACTTTGTTGTCATATAATAACATTTTTTGTATTAAGGGTGAATGATTTAAATCCTTAATTTAAGAATTAATAATTTATTAATATTAAATTATTTATATTAAGGAATAAGTATTCCCTTAATCACCACTTCTGTTCAACATTGTACTAAAGAATGGGACCAATGTAATATGACCTTCCGCCCAACGAAGAAAAGCAAATAAATAAAAATTGAAAGGTAAAAGAAATTCTAAAAGGAAAATACAAAACTGTTCTTAGTTTTTCTACAGTCAAACCATCAGCTCTGTTTAAGAGAGTTCAAAAGGTTGTAAGATTGGGCTTCCCTGGTGGTGCAGTGGTTGAGAGTCCACCTGCCGATGCAGGGGACACGGGTTCGCGCCCCGGTCCGGGAATATCCTACATGCTGTGGAGCGGCTGGGCCCGTGAGTCATGGCCGCTGAGCCTGCGTGTCCGGAGCCTGTGCTCCGCAACGGGAGAGGCCACGACAGTGAGAGGCCCGCATAACGCAAAAAAAACGTAGACTAAAAAGATGTCTGAAAACATTGCTCATTAATTATTTTGAAATGCAGAATCTCCTGGTTGAAGATGATGATGATTTCAGTACAGTCAGAGATGACATTGGAAGAGAAAAACAGAAAGCGTTTGCTCTGGGGAGAAAGAAGCGGTAAGTTAGGGTCCTCACCTACGTGACAGATTCCACCGCGACCTCCAGGCGCTGGCGCGCCTGCTCTCGCTGGAAAGCTCCTGACTGAGGCGTGGAAAGAAACAGCAGAGCCCTCCTCCCTGCCTGCGCTTGCCCACCTTCTCTCCATCACCCCTAGAGTGGCTTCCTGGGGACCGTGCAGGAGGAACCTGGGCGCAGGTCACTGCGAGGAGGAGGCCCCTCCCCGAGCTCCGGGTCTTGTTCTCCCTCTGCCGGGGCCCTGTTCCTGCAGTCGGCCTCCCCCATCCCCGGGTCTCTTCCTTCAGACACCTGCCGTGGCTTGTCTAGGGTTCGCGCTTCCTGACCCTGCTGCGGCTGTGTCCTCCTGCTGTCACCTCCGTCACTCTCCACCCCGTCTGTCCCCTCCAGGCAGCCAGCCAGGTTGCTCACCCAGCCAACCCTCCCCTTGGAGAGAGCTCCCTCCCCATCCATCTTCCTCGCTCTGCTCTGCCCGAGTCGTCACCTTGGGTGGGCTCGCTCCTTCCTCTTCTGTACACAGCCCAGCTCTCTCCTGGCCTCCAGACCACAGACACCTATCAGAATCTACTGGAACCTTCCACCAGTGCTGATACTTCAACCTCCACGTGCCTGGGCCTGGCTCCCACCACCATGGTCTGCATAGTCACCCCTCGCAGGCCACACCAGGGGTGTGGGTGGTCGTCCTGATCTGTCCCCACTTCCAGTCTCCTGAGGTCTTGTGTCCTGTCCCCGTCCTCATTGCTTCTGGCTTGGTGGCCTCTCCTCTCGGCAGTAGCCTTTGAACCAGGCTGCCTGCCTGGCCCAGCCCCTGCTCACCTCAGCCTTCCTCTCCTCCCACCTTCCACAGCTTGGGTACCAAGTGTCAGGCGTTGTGACGGCAGCAAGAAGACATGCCCTCCGCCTGGCATGCAGGACAGGGAAGCGAGGGCTGGGGTGGAGGCGGTGTCCCCCAGGTGTGTGACCCTGTAACCATGTGCGGAGCTGGGCGTTTCAGACGTGAGCATCTGTGAAGGTCACGCTTGGATTGGGAAGGTGAAGCAGGAAAGACTGCACTGCTCTGAGACACCTTCCCTCAGCCGCTGGGAAAAGCCCCGAGGCTGGACCCCTCTGCGGGGAGGGCGTGGGAATGCGCCCCGAGGAGGGGTACCCCGAGGCCCCTGAGGGAGCAGTGCGGAATAGCTGCCCAAACTGCCACCGTGCGTCTCTGCGGCCCGCCCTGACTTGACCCTGAAAGTTGGAATGAGATGTGGAGTCACTCCTCGACCTGGTGGGGCCCTTGGCGTCTGGGATGTGACCCCGTGACGGCCTCTGTGTCCCCGCAGCCAGGAAGCCCTTCGTGTGCGGAGCAGCGACGTCCCCTCTGGTGCAGAGATGCCTCCCCGCCCCCGTGGACCAGAAGCTTCTCTCTCCATCCACGTCGGGAGCTTCAGATAGCACAGGGCCTACACTCCTGCTGCAGGTCCTGGCCCGTTTCCTGGTTTCTGCCCGGTGTGGACACGGACTCAGAGCCCTGCTTTGTCATGAGCAAAGAGGGCGCTCCATCGCAGGCCAGGCGAGTGCGCTTGTCACCCGCTCCGTGGCGCGTCCCCCCAGGCTGGCACGGACCTGGCCGCACCACAGGTGCCAACCAGCCGACACCCTCGCGCCAACACTCGAGCCCCGCCACCATCTTTATACAAAAATTGACTAGTTTTGCATTAACTGCAGGCATGGGTGACGTGCCACGTGGCTCATCCCTACACACCTGTCTCTAAAGTACACCCGTCCCACTCTCTCTCTCTCACGCTGTTCAGGTATCTGTGGCCGCCCAGGCTCTGACAGCTCGGCTCACAGCGATGGGCTGGCCAGGCTCACGCTGTGACATAAACAGGAGTCTGTTTTCTGGTCCCCAAACGGCACGTTTCCCCTTTGGTCTGAGTTAGAAGTGGTTCTGAAGCGTTAGTTACCTCTCTTTCCGGGATGAGACCGACGGGGCATCCTCTGAGGTCGGGTGCCGCTGGGGAGGGGGCAGCATGAGCTGGCATCCGACCCGTGCTGTCTGTGGTCAGAACATTCTCGCCGGGGCCTCTTCCTTCTGGGAGCCTGACGGGGAGGCAGGGTCGTGGCCGACAAGCCTGGGAAGGGCTGAGGGGGCAGTCCTGAGGAGCCTCGATTAAAATGGGAAAAAGAAAATGTGAACCAAGAGTCTTCTTAATGCGGCATAGCTGGCTCTCCCATTTAAAAGATGTAAGTGGTATTTATGACAGCTACGTCGCGTCTGTGTTACTGAGCTGAGTGATTTTGGACAGTGGGGTGACTCATCACTTTCTCAAGCTAACTCAGTCAGAAGCAGGAAAAACAAATTCTTTACTTTCTTATACCTCAGTGATGCTTTATAGCGACTCTCTTGCTAGGTATGGTTATCTTCTTGATTTAACAGTTTTTCATCAGCCTTTTTACCACTGATGATATTAAAATAGCTCTTAAATGTAAGGGATGGAAAGGAAATGACACGTGGGCTAGGCCTCCGCCTGCACCACCGGCTTAAGGAAATTGCGTGAATGTTGCTGCGCCCGTGCTGCTCTTCCGCAGAGCTTGCCACTGAGTGGAACGAATGCCCTGCCCTTCCTTCCTCTGTCCTCCCTCCTTCCAAACAGTGTCAACACCACCACTAGAAACTCTGGTCTGTGTGTGCGTCTGAAATTGTTGGCTCGCGAATTACGTACTAATTTGTATTGAAGCAGTCGTGTTTTAAGAAGTTGGGCTTTGGCGAGTGCTTCCGGCCTCAAACACTAACTCTGTCTCAGGAGACGCGCACGTGGGGTCCAGACTCTCCAGACGCACCTGGCGGGCAGTGACGAGGCCAAAGTGTAAGCTCCCTGACTGCCCCTCTGTGTAGAGGCTCTTCTGTCCCTTTTCCCGTAACTGACAGGGCTCCTTGGTGTGCCCCTTCATTCCACTGTAATAAAACATTAATGTTCTAACTGAAAAGCCTTGCTTCTGAGAAGCCGGCGGCCTTGCTGGGCATCACCTACCACGACAGGCAGGGGTCGAGGTGCTGCATGGTGTCCACGGTGAGCGGCCGGGGCCTCGGGTGGTCTCTGCTTGTCGGCTTGCTCCCCTCCTTCCTTCCTTCCTTCCTTCCTTCCTTCCTTCCTTCCTTCCTTCCAGTTTGGGGATGGAGTGGGGCTCCAGGGAGAGAGCCGTAAGAGTTTGTTAAAGAAAAAATAAACTGTTCAATTTGTAACCTCCCGTCTCTGTGCGCTGACTGCTTCATGTTGTCCTGGCCTTTTTCCCAAGAGAACTACAGATGCTAAGTCGCTGGGGTTTATGTTTAGAAATACCACTTCAGTACTGCTCTAAAAATAACAGAACTGTGTTTTGGTTTTAAATAAACTCAGACTCGTGGTAATAATTGTATTTGAAGAACCTGGAAGTGGTCTGGTTCTCTTTTCCTTCTAGGAAAATAGAACTGGCAGGGGTGCTTGTGTTTCAGAAAACATATTTACTCAAATGTGACACTTTCCTGGCAAAAAGGGGAGGCGGGGCCCAAGAAGTCCCTGATAATCCAGAATCCTGGCTCAGAGAGGTTGGCTTCCCTCTGGGACAGACTTGGTTGTGAAGGGCCAAGTCCTGGGCCCCTCAGCCCGGCTGGACGGGAGACGCAGCAGCCGCACCTTCCGTGCTCAGTCCTGCCCTGTCAGTAAAAGACGTGACCGGTCACTGTGGGTATGTGTACGTTCTGGGAAGGCGCCGCACTGCAGAGAGGAAGGTGAAGCTATGACAGCGACACACGAGCTAGTTAAAGGAAGAGACGTCTCCAGCGCCCACCAGGAGCTCATTGCCTGCATCCTGGCTCAGGCTGCCTTGAGCAGACCTGACGCGCCCGCAGCTTCTCCCCCGGGGAGAAGGTGGCTCTAGTCCCGGGGGGAGGGGCACTCTGCGGGGCCCCCACCTTCCTATCAGCAGCTCCAACCCCCACAGCCCAGGGGCTGGGCCCTCGGGCCCACCAGCTCCTACCTGCAGCCTGGGGTCTGGGTTGGGCCCGACGGATGGAGCGCCTCGCGGTTCGGCCAGCAGCAGCTCAATGACATGAATGATTTGACTTGGAACCAGCGTACTGAGGGAGTGGGGACCACGATACAACGGCTCTTCTGGAAGTCGAGGCCACCCCGAGCGGTCACGGCCTCCACGGTGATGGGCGCTGCACACGGCCCTGCCTGGCACCGCGGAGGCCCGCCCGGCCCCGAGGGTGCACCTGGCGGCGGCCACACTGGGGCACTTTCCTCCTGCGGCACACGTCCTGGAGACCTGGGACCACAGGCAATTTTGTTCTCAGCGTGGGGGCCCGGCTGGCAACATGACTTACCGGAAAGCGCAGCAGGCTTTTTGGTTGATCTGCTTCCGTCCACGGCGCGAGCTAGAAAGCCTTCAGGTCCCCAGCTGGCGGGTTTTCCTCTGCGAGTTTTACAACCTGCTTATTAGGCTTTTGTGATCAAAAGTGGCAACAGACGCTGCTCCGAGGCCGGCACCTGGGCTGGGCGGCCAGCACGGTCACAGTTGCCATCCCAGTGTGAGAGGGACCACAGGCTCCCAGGCCAGGATGCCTGTGTGTGACTTAGGCCGTTCCCCCAGCGTGGGCTGGGGTTGGTGTCAGGCCTGGGACACAGGACCAGCATGGCCCTCGAGGTGTGATCTCCGGTACCCAACTGCCCCGTGACTCCCGTCCCTGCCACGTGCTGCTGGGACAACTCATGAACTTCTCTGAGCCTGTGTCCTCATCTGTAAAGTGCAGATACCCACCTCGTAAGATTTGCTAAGGAACACAGGTGAGTTAGGATGTGTAAAGTCCTTAAGCCGGCACCTGGCATAAAATAACAGAAATGTGTTAGACCAGCAGCACCGTGATCAGCCATCACTGGCATAGCCCCATTCCCTCTGCACCCACCCGTTTGTTTAGTCATGAGTGTGTGATACAATTCTAGACAATGAGACATTAGGGGAGGTCAGTGGAAGCCAGACTTTCTGAAAGGTTTCCTTAAAAAGAGACGCAGAAGAGACAACGCCCCTATACACCCACACCTTAGCCTGGACGTGGTCATGTTTGGATGTGATCCCTGGAATAGTGGCAGTTATTCTGTAAGCATGAGGCCTGATCCTGGATGGCCAGGTGGGAGGAGCATGCACACCAGGACAAAAATGGGGCTCTGCTAAGCAAAGGAGAGAGAAGAAAGCTGCTGGGGAGGCAACCTACACATCCAAAGCCCACACAGCCCTACGGTACCCTGCCTGGTTTTCGACTCCGTGATCCCAGCCCCCATCCCTCACCCCAGGAAACTGGGGGATGATTAAAGTGACCTTGAGCTTGGAGAGGCAGCTCCCTTGTAATAAACGTACTATGATTAAACAGAGCGGTAAGTAGAGCTCCGGTTTGCAGTTACATGTAAAAGACTTAGGAAGTTAGGATATTAGCTAAAATGACCCGGCCCTCAGTAGGCTGGGCTGAAGCCGCATGTGATTAAGCCTGAGAACCTTGGTGCTACCTGGCCCCAAGGTCGCTGAATTTTTAAATCAATAGATCCTAGAACCTACACCCTAAATAATACAATGGCATTCATCCCACTTTGCTTTTCAGCCACCGCCAATTCAACCTGTTTTTAGAGCAGCTGAAAAACGTAATTCTGAACCCAGTTCGGGAAGATTTTTGGCAACGACATCTTTCGTCCAAGCGCAAGGAACGATAACAAGAAACCCGACAGTGAAAGATCAAAAACAGGCTTGTTTTATTTATACACAGAACAACGTATTTACAACTCCAGATGTGGATATGTACATAGCGATACAGGAGGCGTTTGCTTCCACGGTGGGAGCTGTATAAATTAAGATCATAAATATGGGGGAAGCCCCACCAGAGGGCACAAAACCTTTTCTCCAAGACTCCAGGGATCCCTCCTCCCTCCCTCTACACTGACAGGACCGTGAGACCCCGGGGACCCCCGAGGGACAGCCGTCCAGCCTCACGGCGGGAGCGGGGGCCCAGAGGGCAGCCCCACGCGCAGCAACACGCACCACAATGCGCGTGGGACGCCGCCCTGCAAACGCGGCCTCGCGCAACGCTCGTGCTTATTCCACTCGCTCTCACTACCCTCAGAAAGTGGTTTCACGTAAACAGTGTTGCTCTAATCACTGACCACGTTACCTTTAAACACCACGCTTGACCTAAACCTAAGGCTTTCCCAAGGGAGGGCGCTGAGGGCCACGGTGGCCCTGTAGCACCGGCCACCAAACCCCACGTGCGCCCTCCTCCGCCCAGTCCCCTCCTGTGCGTCGGCCTGAAGGCCTCAGAGCCCAGGGTGCCCCCGGCCCGAAGCAACAGAGCAGACGGCGTCTGGCACCGCGGGCCGGGCTAGCCTGTTCTACTTTGAAACCCAGGGACTTGTGACTGGGTTTCCTCCACCTCCCTCCACCCGCAGCGGAGGCTCTGATGGGCGGGAACCTCGGGGGCGCGGAGAGTGACACTACCGCTGGGTGGGTCGCGGCCACCCCGCCCGCGGGGACAAGCTGGCCTGGGGCAGGGCCTCGGCCGAGCTCAGCGCCGGGAGGCCCGCCAGTGGGAGCCCCCGCCGGCCGGAGGCAGCGGCCGACTGCGCGGCCGGCGGGGAGCCGGCAGAGCGTGTGCGAAGCGAGCGGCAGGTCAATGCTCCGCCGCGCGCCCCATGGACCCCTCGGGACGACAGCGCCCCCGCTCCCGGGCCCCTCGGGACGGCGACGCACAGCCCCCGGGAGGCGGAAGCGGAGAAAAGGGCCAAGTGCCAGGCGGTGAGGACCGGGGTACCGCCGGGTCCGTTTCCGGCTCAGCTTCGTCCCCGCGGAGGGACGCTGACCTGGCGGCTCCGCCCCGGGGTGAGAAACTCTGGGCGGCCCCTGATGCCCTCGGCAGCCCGGGAAGCCTCCTCCACACAGAAAACACGGACCAGCCTCTGTCGGCGGGGAGACGACAGGCCAGGCGTCCTGGGCACAGAGGGGACCCCGCGCCCGCGGCCCAGGGACGAGGGGCCAAGACGGTCGGGGCGCGAGCTCGTCAGCCCCAGACCCTAACTACCGTCTGCTCGGCTTCAGGGGCACCCAGCGTCGCCTTCCTGTCAAAATGAACCGGCGGGACGGAAGGCAGCCAGGCCGCGCTCACACCAGGGCACTCAGACGCGCGGGGACACAGCGCGGGCCGGCAGGGGCGGGAGACGGTTACCCGCGCTGCGCCGCTGAGGGCACACGGAGGGGCCCAGGCCCGGGACAGGGCGGGAGGCGGCGTCGGCTGGAAGGTAGCTGTGTTGCGGGTCGGGACCCGGGGCCCAGGCCGCCGGGCCGGGTCGGCGGGAGTAGCACCATGAGCGGCGCCGAGCCGGCTCAGTCGCGGGAGGCGCGGGGGACGCAGGCCCAGAGGGCGGAGGCTAGGCCTCGGCGGCAGGGGTGCTGCGGCTCAGCTCCTTGATGCCACACAGGATCCTCTTCATGTGGCCCACCTTGGTCACGCCGAGGTCCTGCAAGGAGAGGACAGCGCTCAGGCCCCGGCGCGCTGCCACCCGCGTCCGAACACGAGTGAGGGTGAAAGCGACAACAGGGGACGCGGCCGGAGACGGCGCCCGAAACCAGCAGCCCGCGGCCGCCCGCCACGTCCCGGTCCCTGACGGGAGTCGTCAAAGGCACACGGAGCAAAACACAGACGAGCGAGGCGACCCGAGGGCGCCACCGTCCCGACGCCCTTGGCGGCCTCTCAGCCTCTCCGGACGGGACGCGGCCTGAGCGGCACAGAGAGCCAAGCTCCGGGAGCCCCGGGTCAGGCCGCCCCGCGTCCTCCCGAGGGGAGGGAGATGGGCGAGCGGGGCCACTGGGGGAGCCAGAAGGCGGCCAACTGGGGAAGGAACCCCGTCCGCTGGGTCCCCTTCACCCGGACGGCTGTCATCACAGAGAACACTTCAGCTTGACTAGCGGAGGGCTGCATTCCCCAAAGGGTTTTTAACGCTAACATGGCCCACTGTCCAGTTAGACTAAGAGAGCGAGGCTCCCCAGCAGGAGAGACATCACATCTGGGAGCCGCCACGCATCACCCCCAGGTCGCATCACCCCCAGGTCGTCACCCCGGGTCACGCACAAAGGCCTGAGAAGAACAGTGAGGAGACTGCTGACACTGGGACAAGGCCAGGTCAGAGGGAGGGGACAGGGGAGCCGCGGGGAGCGCAGGTGCGCCTTCCCAGGAGACGCTGTGGAAGTACCTTGAGGTCCCTCCGCTCCAGGTGCAGGAGCTCTGAGCCCCGGATGTCGTGCCGCGTGAAGATGTCCTTATACTCACAGAGACTGAGGTGCTCCAGCCAGGCAGCAACCTCCTCTGTGCCCCAGAGGTGAACTGTCAGAGACGGAAAAGCACGAGTGCAATGAGTGCCCAGAGCCCAGCGCGAAGCAGGCGGCGGCCCACGCCCGAGACGCCCCAGCAGGCGGCGCCCGAGATACCCCAGCAAGCAGGCGCCCGAGACACCCCAGCAACCAGGCGCCCGAGACACCCCAGCAAGCAGGCACCCGAGACACCCCAGCGGCAGGCACCCGCCACCCAGCCCCAGGTGCCGCCCCAGGCTGTGCAGAAAGAGGAGGGGAGCTGCCCGCCCTCGGGGGCGTGAGCTGCCACAGAAGCTGGTGTCTGTTCCTGCCAGGTCACCAGCAGCCTTCTGTGCCAGGAGGGACACATGGGTCTGACTGCGGCTGAGGTCAGCTTCCCTCTCCCTTCTAGAGGGGTCCATTTCACTTCCAGCCCACAGCGGGAAGGGAAACATATGCAGAGATTCCATGGAGTCAGAGCCACCATCATTCAAAGAAACCCAATTTCTGGACAAACATGCGAAGAAGAAAAATCAAAGGGAGCTACTGGCAGCAAATGCCACCCCCCAATCCAGGCTTGGGGCCGCCCAGCACCTGAGAGCCTGGGGGCAGCTGTGCTCAGGGCCGACACTTTGAATGGAGATTCTAAAGCCCCAGTTTACTGACCCAGAGGAGAAACATCCTTTAGTGCCATTTTCTATTGATTTCACGGCCCAGGGCCACTGGCAGCCCAGGTTCCCGGCGCAGGGGCCTTGATCAATGAACTGATTAATGGGGGACGAGCAGCCCCGCAGAGGAAGCAGGCACAGGGGGGCCACTGTGTGGCCGGAGTGTGAGCTGTGTCTCTGTCTCGTCACCTCTGCTGTCTCCTCCCCACCTCGCGCCCCAATCTAGCGCAGGCAGGCGGCTCTGTGGCCTGTCTGTCACCCTGAATCTGCACCAGGAGCAAGTTCAGGGCAGGGCGTGACACCAGTGAGCCTCCCACATGGAGCAGGAAAGCCGGGGTGCAGTTCTGTAGCCAGACGAGTCGGCGCAGGGCATGACCGGAGGCCGTGGCCCCGGGACGACGGGGACAGGCACGAGGCCAGGGAGAAAGCAGAGCCTGGGCCCCACACAGCCCGGGTGGCCAGGAGAACAGCAGAGGGCAGGTACCCGGGGCTCCCAGGCTGCTGCGAGCTTCTCTGTTCTTGTTATTCTTCTCCTTCTTAAACTTGGTCACCAGGCGGAATTTACCGCTGCGGCTGCGCTTGGAAAGATCCAGCATCACGTTCTGTGTGGCAAACGAGAAACTGTGAGAGTCAGACCCCGGCTCACCAAGACCTCAGCCACCCCTCGAGCAGACAGGCACGGAGCTAGGAAGACACGTCGTTCCTGATACTCCTATTCCGGGGCTTTTCCTTGACTTTTAGTCTTGTGTTTATTGCTGATTTTTAATGCCTTTAAAAAGCGGTTTCACAGTGATAAGTAACTATTTTCATATTCTTTTTTTTCATTTTACAGTGTTTATTTCTCATGTGACTAGAAAGCTCTCTATACATTATTTAAATATCAGGACCGTATCAAGATTGGTAAGTTATCAGCCACTCTTCCAGCGTTGCACTGGCGCGCTTTGACTATCAGTATCACGAGTATCTTTCTAAATAAAGCTTTTCCTGCACTTTGCACTGTTTCCTTGCGATCTGTTCCTTGAGGCAGAATCAAGGAGGGAAGGGAGTCAGAGGGACACCACGGGGACGGGGTCCCTGCTTGGTGGCCACCTCCCCACAGAGCAGTCCAGGGCACGGCAGAGCCATCGCTGCCCCTTCCCCACGGGTCTGTGGACCTTCTCTGCTGATTCTCACAGAAGCTAGGGCAGGGGTCTCCGCCAGTAAAGCATTTTGTGCACACACAAACACGTACCTGTTCTGATAATGTGTATAAACCTATTCCCAAATAAAGCGTAATTTCCTTGTTTTTCAGGTGTGCCACTTTCTTCCTGGCCCCGCCGGCCTGGATTCTGCCCCTGGGCCCTGTCTACCTACATCCCCACTGTGACCGGCACAGTTAGGACTGCGCAGCTTTATGACACACTTTCAGATCTGACGGGGACATCGGGTCGCACTGAAAAAACTCCACCGGCATTTTCACTGGGATCGTACCCAACCTAGAGCCTGGAAATACTAAGCATGTCCACACCCAGACTGTCGTGACCCTCCATCTTCCTCATGCCCCTGCACGGTCATCTTCGTGGAAAAAGACCTCTTACAATGACATTTTCTAGTCAATGACTGTGAGTACTGAAGAAACTTGTTTTCACAGATGTCTTATTCTTGGCAAAACCATCAAGCGCCCATTCTTGCACAGCTGCTCCATGCAAGAACTCCAGCTCCCAGGCGGTCAGCACAGTCACGGGCTCTCCGGCCCCAAGACGAGCCGCCCCTCACTCCTCAGCGCCGCCTGCAGGAGGGGCGGCCACGTGTGAGCAGGTACTCTCCAGAACCCACACGAAATCCGATTCCTGACTCTACAATTTCTTTCTTTAATGCAAACATGAGCTTTAAATTTACTTCTAACTTTTTCATTATGCATATTTCCTTCCACTGGTAGGACGAGGAGACTAGTAGAATGTGGCAGATTTCAGACATCAAATTACCCCGCCCCTAAGTACTTCAGTATATGCGACTCTAAGAATACTCTTCTGAAACATACTCATGGCGCCACTGTCACACCTGATACCACTAACAAGAATTCATTTGGCTCTCACGAATCCATTTGTATCAGACCTCCCCGACTGCTCCAAAGGTTTATCCTCACAGCTGGATATGTGTGGATAAACCTTTGGAGCAAACCTTTGAATCAGGACCCTGATGGGGTTCACAGGGGACACCCAGCTCTTGTGGCTCAGTCTCTCCTCCTCGGGGCCACCTGTAGAGAGACCAGGAGTCTGCCCTGCGGGACAACTCGCGCTCTGGCTCCGACGGGCGTCTCCCTGCCTACCCACTTCCCGTGTGGTCCAGAGCTGCTGATTCCATCAATCTCGTGTCCCCAGGGGTGCAAAATGGTGCTTTAATCCTACACTCCAGCTAGAATTCTGTTATAAAGAACTTGCCGATGCAGGGGACATGGGTTCGTGCCCCGGTCCGGGAAGATCCCACATGCCGTGGAGCGGCTGGGCCCGTGAGCCATGGCCGCTGAGCCTGCGCATCCGGAGCCTGTGCTCCACAACGGGAGAGACCACAACAGTGAGAGGCCCGCATACAGCAAATGTTTAAAGTTCTGGAGATCTGTTTCCTAACAATGTGAATATACTCAACACTACTTGAACTATACACTTAAAAATGACAAAGATGGTAAATTGTGTTTTTCTACCACAATTTAAAAAAATGAACTGGGACAATGTCCATCTTTTTCCAGCTTTGACACTTTCTTATATATGGAAATTATATATTCCTTGACATTTTCTCTTTGGAAGTAAAATTTATTTTTTCAAGTTGTTCTGTGACTATTCCTTTTAAAATATCTTGAGGTTTCAATTTGTGTAATTTAAATATTTTCTGAAAAAATCAAGTTTCATCAAGATTGTAAGATTCATTGTCATTTCTTTGTATATGCTGTAACTTGATTAATGCTTGTATCTGTTGTTATAGCCCCCTTATCATTTTGTTCATTTCCCCCCCATTACATCTGCCAGAGGAGACTTTTTTTTTTTTTACTTTCCTTTCAAAGAACCAGCTCAAAGACCTATCACTTCTTTTCCTTTCAAATAAATGATTTTCCTATTTTTATGTCAGTAGAAATATGGTGCCTCCCCCTCCAAGGTTCCCTTTGCCCTTCACACTTCACCTCCTCCTGGTGCCTTGCATCGGGGGGACGAGCCGGAGTCCCAGAGGGTGGCAGCACTGAGCTGGAAGGCACCAGCGGAGTTGGCTGGAGAAGCCAGGAGCCCAGGAGCCAGCGTGGTTTTCCCTTCACTCCCGGGACCCCTGGCCCTCGGTTTCTGGCCTCAGGCCCCATCGGGTGAATGCCTGCAGTAACACCACCCCAGCTGGTTCCAGAAGGTTTCTGGTGTTGCAACTAAACCTCAGGTGCCATCGGTACTATTTCCCACCTACTACTGCAAGAACTAACATCTGCTCCGTCTCAGCAGCCCACATCTAGGAACCCTGGAAACTAGGGCCACTCTAGACGTGGCTTAGAGGGTTCACCAGGCAGGCAGCATTCAGGTCAGCCATCCAGGGGGGACTCGTGGTGCTCTGTGTTTGTTTCCATGGTGGCTGCATGGCATTTGGTGATAGTTGTTCTGAAAACACTTTTAGGCTTGAAGCTTTAGAACCACACAATCCCTGAGACATGGGCTTTTAGTACTAAGACCTGACAGTCCCAAATAAACTGAGGTGCTTGGTCACCATGCAACTGGGCACCAGGCTGTGGGCCTCCCACTGCAGCAGCTGCTACCCTGCCCGTGAACTAAAGAAAATCCTGGCCCTCCCTGTCTTCACTGAAGAATCTGCACGGAGGCAGAAGCGACCCACCTGCGCAGGGCAGCGCACTGGGAGCACAGGGGCCATGGTTTACAGCTGGTACAATTTCTGTTCTGAGTTAGTATCTGAGGCTTCCTTGTGGTCTAGAGCTGTGCTGCTCAAACTACCCCTGGAAAAGAACCAGCGTTAAAAATTCCCATTCCATAGTGGACTGGTACTTGAATGAAAGAAAGTAAAACAAATTACTAGAAAAATGAAACCCCCAAAAGGCATACAAAATACAAACCTCAGTTTTTTTATCGGGACTTCCCTGGTGGCGCAGTGGTTAAGAATCTGCCTGCCAACACAGGGGACCCAGGTTCAAGCCCTGGTCCGGGAAGATCCCACATGCCGCGGAGCAACTAAGCCCGTGCGCCACAACTACTGAGCCTGCGCTCTAGAGCCCGCGAGCCACAACTACTGAGCCCGCGTGCCACAACTACTGAAGCCCGTGCGTGCCTAGAGCCCATGCTCCGCAACAAGAGAAGCCACCCCGATGAGAAGCCCGTGCACTGCAACAAAGAGCAGCCCCCGCTCGCTGCAACCAGAGAAAGCCCAAGTGCAGCAACAAAGATACAATGCGGCCAAAAATAAATGAATAAACAAATTTATAAAAAAAATTTATTATTTTCAACGTAAATAAAGTTTCCCTCTCAAGTGCTTCAAAGTTTCTAAACGCTTCCTCTCAATTTCTACAACGATAACAGAGAGTTTCATACCATCAGTAGTAGTCCCAGTTTAGAAAATGATCAGATTTTCAAAATGTCCTATGGGCAACAGAAAAGAAAGCATTTTCCCTCTTCTCAGAGTATAAAATTCTCTCTATAGAGAAGCATGATATATACTTGTATGTATATTCTACACATACGTATTCTATCAACTTGCTTTGTTCAGATGTTGTGACAGTTTGTTTTCTGTGGTTAATCACGGACTGATGGGGATAGCTCACACTACAGAATCGGGATTCTGACGCTTCCTATCATTTCAAGAAGTTGTAGCTTTACATATTTTATGCATGTAAAGGTTAAACTCTGGGGGGTCATCACTAAAAGAACAGACAGAAGAGTACATACTTCCAAACTAGTAGAGGGACAACCAGAATTCTGTGGGAAGAGGGAGAGGCTCATCAATCGAAAAGGAGAAATGCAAAGAAAAAAAAATGGGACAAACAGAAAGCATAAAATATGGTAAAAATATATCTAAATATCAGAATCATAATAAATGTAAATAGACTGAACTCTCCAATCAAAACACAGAGTATTATACCGAATAAAACCCCCAAATTTAGCAATGCTATTTATAAGAGCGACACTCCAAATAAAGCGTGAAAGTGAAAGTATGAAAAAGAATATACCAAACAAGTGGACTTGAAAGCAAAAAGAATTAATAAGGGTCTTTATATAATGATGAAACTTGTATGCATCCAATAACATAACCGCAAATATACACAAAACCACAAGGATAAATTGAGACATCTACATTCACAGGTCAGAGAGTTCAACAGTAACTGACAGATCAAGAAGACACAAAAATAAAAAACAAAGTAAGGACTTAATGACGTAAATAATTACAACTGGATATAAGGTACATTTATAAAAACTGACCACCTTTTGGGCCATAAAGTAAGTTTCAACAGATTTCAAAGGACTGGTAACATACAAACAACTGCCTTTGAACACAGTGATATTAAGTTAAAAATCAGTAACAAAAAACTTACTAGAAAAAAATCTCACATATTGGGAAATACAACTCATTTAAATGCTATATTAGGACAAGATTTTATCATTATAACCATCGTAAGTTTATCTCAGAATTATACAATATATAGTATAATAATATGGTTATTATCTTTTACCAATATAAAGTGATCCTCTATCATTTACTGCCTTAGGTATGCAATTCTATTTTTACATTGTTACTTTGGATTTTTTATTGTGTTTTCTTGAAATTGTTTTATTTTTAATCTTTCTGGGTCACAATTTTTTATTGAGGGTATGGAAGAGAAAACTGGGCTCCTGCGACTAGTATTTGGTTAGATTTCTTTTTTTTTTTTAGCACAATCTAAGAATAATTTGCTTTTAAGAGGAGCAGTTATATTATTTCCTATTTTCTTATTTTTATGCTGTTAGCTCCATCTTTACTACTTCTTTTATTTTCTTTTATGATACAGACTACACTTTGCTTGTGTCTTTTGTGGTGATTCAAAAAGACATACACCTTTTCAATTTTACTAAAAGCTACCTTTAAAACTACATTTAAGTTTTTAAAACATAATTGACTACCTTTCTCTAATTATCAAAGTCAAGAACTTTCATGAACCTTCCTCCACCGTAAGAGGAGGGACTTAATGTGCCCTCACTCCCATCCATGTCCTCTTCCCTGTCTCCCCACTGCACTGCCCACACTTCACAGGCTTTGACAACATAATCTGGAATCACAGGCCTAGGTTACTGCTACATTTGTTGAATATTTTACGTATTGTTTTAGTAATCTTCTTTAAATGAAATTTCTATATTTATAATTAGCTACAAATTTTGATGAGCCTGGCCTGGCCCTCTGAACCAAAATGTCCTCATTCTTCAGTTGCTGAGTTTTGTTTCTTGGCTGGAAGGCCTCTGAGTCAGTTTTCCAGGTGGGGTGCACATTTGTCAACAAACGCCGCATGTTCAAGAAGAGCTCTGGACTGCTGGCCCCCTGTCCCCTCGCCCTACTGCTGCCCATGGGTCCTAACAATCGAGCCAGCAGCAGGGGCGCCTAACGTGTCTAGCAGTTCTTTACCTGGTGAACTTTTCTCCTGGCCCACCTCTGTTCCACCCCTGAGAGGAAGGCCATCTAGGGTTTGCCCCTCTCCAGATGCTGCCCGCAAAAACCAACCACTCAACAACAAGCACCTCTCCAGGGCCTTCTTCCTGCCTCTCCTGCTTCAGGAGACACTACCCCCAGGGCACATATGCCCAGGGTCCCATCTGTTGTCCCAGCTATAAGACCTGTGGAAGCTGGCATCTCTAAATACGCACAACAGAAAAGCATAACTGTGATTTGAACACAGCAACTCTGCCCCTGTCAACAACAAACTCCCAAGAAGTTGCTGTTTAGCCAACTGATGTGCCTCCACACTGGGGGCAAATAGTGGGGCTGGGCTCAGCCTTCTTTCCACCTATGTCCTGGACAGCCCCGCAGTTCTGCTGCCGAGGGCAACTTGTGCCCCAGTCACCAAGGGTCATTCTTAACAGCAATTCCCAATTCCTTCCTACCTGCCGAAGTTCATCTCTGTGCCTTGAAGGCATCTTAAAAGAGAAGTGTGGGAGGCCAGATCAGGGGCTGCAGGACCAACACCATCTTAATCCCAAAGCTGCACAGAGCACGTGGGTTCAGGCACTGAAGGGAGCGCCACTGTGTCCAGGGACGCCGCGCTGAAGCCCCGTGACCCACATACCTCTTCATCACCAGGCTCCACGGGCTGGCACAGCCAGCGGGTGTCCGCCAGCTTCCTGAGCTGCTGGTCCATCTCGACGAGGGCAGCCGTGAGCCGTTCCTTCTGAGGGGGATCCAACTGCTGCTCCAGGCAGGGAGGGAAGAGACACAGCTGGTTACCGGCAGGGAGCTGGGGCCATGGCAGAGCCCCACCCAGACATGAGGTCTGCTCCAGGGGCTAGGCTGCTCTCAGAGAGTTTTCTAAAAACTTGCAAGGAAACTGAGTCCCACGCCACTGAAGGGCCAGACTCAGAACCTCCCCTCGTAAGTAGTGTCAGGTGAGAGAATTAAACTCTCCTCTCGTAAATGATGGGGGAGACCCAGCTTGTCTAAAATCTCATCAGCAGGGCTGACAGGTCACCTGCTCTGGTTTCCTCGGGACCCTCTCTCGGAAGCGGGGGAGCAGCCTGCCTGCACCAGAGCGCAGGAAGCATGGTGGGGCCACGGACGCAGCAGCTGGTACGTGTCAGGACAGCGCAGTACTTTGGAATGAGAGTGTGGAACTGGACTCTTAGGGCAGTTCTCTAGTGACTTCGCCTCCTTGACCTCCCACCTCCTCGTTTTTTAAAACAAGGAGGTTGGCCAGGCGCTCTCTCAGGTCTGCCCTGAGCTAGCTTCTGCGGTTCAATCGAACTCCAGCCGCACGCCTCCACAGGGCTGACTCATGAGCCAGGTTGCAGGGCTGAGCGAGGAAGGCAGCCGACTCTGGGCGCGGGGAAAAGGCCGGCCAGCCTGGCCACGGCGGTGGCCGCGCACCTGGAGGGTCTGGGGCAGAGCGCCGTCTACGATACAGGAGGTCCCGTCCGCCAGTCTCGGACACCCTGGAGATGACGTGGCGAGATGCGGCCAGAGGGCTTGAGCATCACCACACCATCAGCTCAGATGGCCTCTGAGGCCCCTCCGACGGGGGGCCTAGAATTCTCAAGGCCGGGGATCCTGGGCTGAGGCGGGCTGCCCTCTGGGCGCACAGTAAGCGGCCCCCCAGCTCACCAGGGCCAGCTTCCCCGCCAGCAACAGCTCCGTCTCGCTGCGCAGAGCTCTGACGTTATTCACCATCTCCAGCACGAAGCTGCAGCTCAGCCCCTGGGAGGAATCAGAACAGACACTGTGGAGACGTCCCGAGGGCGAAAGGGGCCCACAGGAGAAAGGCCGGAAAAGCGCAGGCACCTCTGCGGCCCTGGGCTTGCCGTACACCCGGTCCATGGCCTTGGAGCTGGCGTTGACGGCGTGGGCGAGCTCCTGCTCCACGTCTCGGTGGGACCGCGCTGCTTCCCGGATGCTGGAGGGAGACACGGCACTCATCAGACCGAAGAGCAGCAGCCTGCGAGTCGCCTCGCTGGAACACAAGCCCAGGTTCGGCCCAGAGGGCCGACAAGACCACGACTTGCCCGTGGTGACCCGTGACAGCCGATCGTTTCCTGGCCGGTGGCGGAGGAGGCCTTAAATGGGAAATCTGACAACAAAATCCCAAACTTTTCTAGAAACTCAGCCAAGGAGGTAATGCCCAAAATGAGACCTACACCTTGCAAAACAGCGAGCGGGTAAGTAGCAGGAGGCAGAGGAGGAGAAAGCCAGGAAGAAGCTAGACGGCCATGGAGGGGCCCCCGGCCTGCGCACGGCTCCCAGCAGGGGGAGGGGAGGCACAATGCAAAGACACCGCCAGACAGCGGCTGAAGGGGGTCAGCGGATGTGGCCACCAAGAGGTCACCAGGCAGAAGGGCCATGCTGGAGCCAGGTGGGTGGACACAGCAGGGGGCGGGGAGAATGGACAGTGGGCAGAGCGGCAACCACCGTGCTGGAAGGTCCAGAGTAGAAGGAAACGCCTTTGGCTGTTGGCTTTTGTTTTTTCAAAATAACTACAAGGTCTGCTTCTTAAGAGCAAACCCGCTCTCTGGGGGCTAAAGGAGGCAGGAGGGGTACTATTCTCAGAGATCCGGGATAGGCTGTAAAACCTATGAGCTGCCTCTGAAAACGCCTGTGGTGTGAAGCTCCCACCCGCATAAACCCCGAGTAATCCCTGGAAGACCGTCAGTGAAAATACCAAAGCCCGGGGTTAGCAGAAACTCAGGCCGAGCCCTCGTGAAGGAGGCAGACGGCACATAAGATCCGGCAGGGGCATCTCAACGCCTGCGGCCCAGCCACGGACCTGGGTCGTCCCAGTGACGTCAGGGGGCCCGGGCGCTCTCGCGGAGGAGTGGACCGCGGAGGGAAGGCGGCACCCACCTGTGGATGAGGGCCCCCGCTGCCTGCCCAAACTGGTCCATCTGGTTGGCTTCCTCCTCGGACAGGATCTCCGGGTGCAGAGAGAAAGATGGAGGGCGGGGCAGCTCACACTTCTGCTTGTCCTCCCAGGACTTCAGGGTGTTCTCAAAGGCCTAGGGCGTGGAAGCCAGTGTTACACTCTCTCCTGCGAGCACACATCTAACAATAATCACTGCTGGGACACTAGCGGGATAACCGGCTAGAAAGGGAGACATTCTTTTTAACGCCGGGGGGAGAGGGAGCAGTTCTAGGAATTAGAGCCCTGTTCACTTAATCTTAATCTTCAAAAAAAATAAATTCCTGGAACAAAACATTAAAAACTCCAGGTCTTCTCCTAGAAGGGGCACATGTGCGCCACAGGCAGTCTGTCTTACCCGATCCCTGGTGAGCGTCTGTGCCCGGTTCTTGTGGATAATCCGAATGTACCCTGGCGGCTGGATCCAGGCCTCTCCGTCCACCTGCACAGGTACGCCCTCATCCCCCAGGATGGAGATCTTCACCGTGCGACACTGAGCAAACATCACAGCCGTCACCGAGCTGCACCCAGGAGCCTTCAAGTGCTGTCAGCACCACAGGCACCGTCCTGCCCTACACACCCCTGCACTGGCCGGCTGACCCCTGGGGTGACACCATACCCCGCCCCCCCCCAGCCTCTGGGGTCAGAGCATCCCCGCCTAAAGCGCAGCTCATGGAGCGCAGGGGGTGTGCCCCACCCCGCTCCCACTGCCCTGCACCCAGCACCGCCATCTGTGATCGCAGTGCGGGGAACTCTGTGCTCAGACACCAGCACCAGGCCCAGGGCGGGGACACATGACCACCAAGAGCTGCTGGGTCCCTGGGCACGTGAGGACACTCCCAGAACAGAGCAAACATCTAACAAGTGCTCCTCTTTTCAACAAAAAATACTGCCAAGGAATTAAAATTGTGAAATTCAAGCAGCCCATGGTGGGGACAGAAAGGACTGGGGGTTCAGGGGAGCATGAACTCCCCATCTCTGTGCCTGAGAACATCGCCCTCCCCAACCCCACCGACAGACACACCCTTCCCAACCCATTACCAGAAGTACCGGATGGGGAACCCACCCTGCCACCTGCTAGCCGGGCCTCCGAGCAGCCGGGCGAGGCCACGCACTCAGCCTCTGCTCCCAGACTCAGGCTGTGGCTTCTAAGAGCTGCAGGCCCAGGGCCCAAGGTCAGCCAGGCCCGTCTCATCTCACCCCACCTCAGCAGGGGTGGGCAGGACACAGATGGTACCCACAGAGTGAGTCAGGGAGGGAGCTCAGGGAGGGTACAAGCCAGCCCCAGTTTCGAAAGTATTTTTTAATTGTCAAAACACGGCAGGTGAGAGCAGGCTCTGGACCAGGCGGAGGCCAGGGCGATCCTGGAAAAGCGCCTCCTCCCCTGGGCTCCGCACTCCGGGGGCCCATATATCTGAGAGCGCGGCTCTGGGCCAGGCCTGCCGCCCCAAACGTGTGTGAGCCACAGCTCCACCCAGGCCCCTCCAGCCTCCAGGACCACGGCCGGTACCTGAGCGATGCGGTGATGCTGCAGCTTTATGACACGGGAGACGGCCATCTGCATGCTGCCGAACACCGCGACCACCTCCAAGATCTTGTCATCGAACGACGGGGCTGCAAAGGTCTGGAAGGGCCGGCGTCAGAGCTGACCTCTGCTCCCAGCTTCCCTGAACACGCCCCCCACCACGCGCATCCTTCTCACCTGGGGGCCGCTGCACTGGCGAGAGCCCGACAGGCCCACTAGTAGGAGAAGCTATGGCGTGAACACTTGCTGACGGGTCTCCACGTCAGAGCCTGAGAGCAGCTGCCTGAGATCAAACCCCAGGCCTGCCACTCACTAGCGTGGGAGCTTGGGCAAGTTACTGTCTCTCTACCCGGGTTCCCTGTGTTAGCGGGGCTAACACAGGTACGTTCCTCACAGGTTCTCATGAGGGCCGTCAACGGGCACAGTGCTGAGAAGGACTGGCACACGCTCAGTGTGCAGCCGGTGTCAACTGTTTTTATTAGCTATTATGTACGAAGGAAGTCAGGCCCCTGGTTAAAACCTATCAATGCCCCCAGAGTTCTCGGCATAAATTCCAAACTCCTCCCTGGCTTACACGGCCCCACGGGAGCTCTAACTTCTCTGTGCTCCGCCCAGCACGCACACACCAGCGAGCCTCCTGTCCGCACCCGGCCCTGCCTGGCCGCCAAGCCTTCACATACGCTGCTCCCTCCTCCTGCCCCATACCCACCTGACCTGTCCAACCCCGCATCACCCTCAGGTCTCAGTGCAGGTGTCCCTCCTCCTAGGAGCCTTCCCAGATACGGGCCCGGATTCCAAGCCACGCCTGCGACCACGCCCGTCCTGCCTGGCATCCCTTTGTCGAGGCCGCGGGAGCGGGGCCTGCCTGCCGTGCTCTCCGCTGCGCCCCTGCTGCCGGCACAGGGGCCCCGCTCCACCCGTCCCTCCGCCTCACTGACAGAGCACCCCCAGAGCGGGAGGCTCCTCCATGGCTCCCGAAGGGGCCGCCTCTCGGGACCCCGCCCCCATCCCCTTCCCTGGGCTCGGGCCCACGCCGCCCAGCACCCCCGTACGTACATCGTCCTCCTTGGTGCCCCCCCAGAAGTTGGTCCCTCCAGCATAGCTGGGAATGTTGAGGACAGCAATTCCCTGGAGACTGGGCAGTGGGATGGGTCGTCCGTCACACTGAGTGGTAGAAATGCGTAAAAGGAGAGAAGAGAGATCCAGGCTTCAGCTGGGGGCTCCCTCCCCCCAGCACACCGCCCTGGGCTAAGGCCGAGGGGCCACCGGGTCAGCAGAGGGGCCGGCAGGGGGCCGCCTGCTCACCTCCAGCAGGACCTTCTGCTCCAGGTTCTTGTAGGTTCTGTGCAGCAGCTCTCTGGTGCCGAGGACTCCGTACCACATCATGTTCTTGGTTCGACTCCTAGGGGTGGAAAGCAAAGCACGGACGTGGGTCTCAGCTTTCTCTACACAGCTACCTACGGCCCTTGCTGCCACCTCATCACAGATGGGTCACACCGGGCAATCACTCCCAGCAGCGACACCGTTAAGATGAGGAGGACATGCCCTTGTCACATGTCCACGCGAGACGGGCTAAAGAGATACATTCACTGACCAGAAATTCTGCTAAAGAGTAACACTGCCAAGAAAGTAATCATACCCTGAGAGGTAAAAAAGGTAAGACATTACAGAACCTCACAAAAAAAAGTATAAATCACAATTTTTTTCCAGCTATAAAATTATGCTTACCACAGAAAATTTGGAAAGGGCAGAAAAGCACAAAGGAGAATTCACAATCCCCACATCTGTAAGTACTGATGATAAATGCTTCAGTGTATTTCCTTAGGAACTTGATTTACAGCTGAAATAGCGGTAACTGTGCACTTCGCCCTGCACGGAGAGCACCGCCCTGTGTCCTGAGCACGAATGACCACAACGGGGCACTTCCCACCAGCACTCGCTGAATTAACCCCTTTGACGGGTCTCTACTTGTTCCCACCCCTGAGCTCTATAACGTACATGGCAGTGGCCCTTGGTAAACGCCTCTTTGCCGAAGTTCCCAATTACTTTTTAAGGGTAGATTTGTAGAAGCGGCATTTTCTAAGTAGACCTTCTCAAAGATACAAACTCAGGGAAGATTATATACCAGGATCCCAAGTTTCTAAAAATATGTCACATGCGGCCTTGCTCCTCACCTGTTCTGCTCTGATAAATTACATGCATTTCAATGCCTTTTCAGTTGTATTCAGACTAACAGGGGTATCTTCAAATGATTTGGGCTCCCATCATGCACTGTGTAACAGGGATACCCCCTGGGGACCTCTGAGCCTTTTCTGATACTCGAGCCCCAGAGCTCCAAGGTTTTTGAGTTCTTATGCTTGATTTTGTTTTCCGAGAAAGGTCCAACCATACAGGAGTCGGGGGATTGCCGGGCAACTCCTCAGGTGTCACTGTGACCGCCTCCCTCCGAGTGACAAGGGCACCTGGCGGGGGCAGGTCTGCAGGCTCTCCAGCAAGGGGCCCCCTCCTCCTGCATCAATGGCTGTTCTCCGCCCAAACTACACACCAGCTTTCCTGCCTCTAGTTCTAGAAAGTCACAACTGAACAGTCTGCCCTCCAGGTGACAGTCACCGTGGGGTGGGGCAGGAGACATCAACTCCCTTCTTCCCTTGTCACGTCTCCCCGGAGGAGAGGACTTTCTACTTCAGCCAGGAGGAAACCTTCCCATTTCTCTCCGTCCTCTCCCCGACCAGGGGGAGACAGTACGTGGTGATTTAGGGGAGAAGCTGAACACCCCCAGCGAAACACCCCCCCGGGGCCTCTCCTGTGGCATTTGCCTGCTCGAGGGCCTTGCGGGGGAGCAAGCCCTAACCCCACCTGAGGGTGACATGGAGATGCCACTGCCGTGGCCATGACACACAGATGCGCCCCGCTTTCTGACAAGGCATTCGGGCTCCGTGTCTGTACTCTGCCTGAGGGCTCTGTGCGCCCCAGAAATTACCCCACGGCTGGAAGGAGAAACCACCACAAGACCCGAAGGACAGGCGTGCGCAGGAGCCGGCACCCACCTGCACTTCTCTGGGTGCTCGTCACGCTTGTTGTTGAAGTCCAGGGAGATCTTCGCATCCAGGCCGATGCCAAAATAATTGTTCATGACGCACTTCTCTGTGTAATACTCTCTGCAAAGGAGCGTTTCACGCCATTTAGAACAACCCTGCATGCCAGCCTCTAAGCAGTTCTTCCTGAGGGCAAAACTCAGTTTTTTTGTTTGTTTGGTTTTGTTTTTTTTTTGGGGGGGTGGCGGGGAGGTAACAGCATTACTGAGATATAACTCACATACCATACAATTTACCCATTTAAAATGTCCAACTCCATAGTGATTGTTCACGTATTCAGAGTCACGACAATCAATTTTAGAACAGCTCATCACCCCAAAAAGAAAGTCCACATCCTTCAGCCAGGAGCCCCAACCCCTCCCCAGCGCCGGCAACCACTACTCTGCTTTCTGTCCTCTGCGGACTTCCAGATTCTGGATGGTTCCTAGAAATGAAATCACACAGTGTGTGGCCCTTTGCGTCTGGCTCCCATCACTGAGCACGTTTTCACGCCACGAACACTGGGTTCACCTGAGTTCAGGGCTTCAGCCCGGTTAATGGGGAACAGCGACGACCCACTGCAGGGATCCTTGGCTGATGGGCCTTTGGGCTGCTTCACTTTTGAGCTATGATTTGTGAACACTCGTACACACGCTTCAGTGGGGACGTGTTTTCTCTTCTCTTGGGAGTAACCCTAGGAAGGGACCTGCTGGGCCACGTGGAAACCCTGGTTTTTTGTTTGTTTTTGTTTGTTTTTGGCGGTACGCGGGCTTCTCACTGTTGTGGCCTCTCCCGTTGCGGAGCACAGGCTCCAGACGCACAGGCTCAGCGGCCATGGCTCACGGGCCCAGCCGCTCCGCAGCATGTGGGATCCTCCCGGACCAGGGCACGAACCTGCGTCCCCTGCATCGGCAGGCGGACTCTCAACCACTGCGCCACCAGGGAAGCCCAAAAACCCTGGGTTTTGAGGAACCGCCAGACTGTCTTAAAAGTGGCTGCATCACCTCACGTTCCCATCAGCAACGTTAAACCTGATGACATCCGTGGCACACACGCTCACACGTGCTTACACCCTGGATCCCAAAACGTCCCTCAAACGTCCCTAGACCCAATCAAAGCAAAGTCCCCAATTTGAAAATGTCCAGCCCAGCCCCACGTCCCAGGTCCACTGCAGGTAAGACTCCTTCTGGACCCTCACCCCCGTGAACGAGGCCCGGCACACCATGCTGGGGAGGGAGGAGAGGAGAGCAGCTTGTGTCTCCCCAGGGGAAGGAGAAGCCTCTCCCTGAAGGAAGAGACCACAGCCCTCGCTGCCAGGTGCGGAAATGCAGGGACCTCAGGTGGCAGAAAGAGACAGCACATCTAGTTCCGGAGGCCTCTGTGGGCGCTGCTCATGTAAGCCTACAGCTCTGGCCTTGCTGGGGAGAACAACTCAGGAAGGGTCAGGACCACAGGCCTTGACAGGCCCCGGCGTGAGGAGCAGACAGGAGGGTGGTGCCAGGCTGGGGACAAGGACGCGGGCCAGCACTGGAGCAGGTGTGGGAACCCAGGCCACCCTGCAGGAAAACTGGCTGCCACTGTGCAGGCTTGCAGCTCTGCTTCCCGAAAGCCAGAGTCTCTGAACCGCACCTTTCTCACTGTTACTCTCCCCACCACGCCGGACACACATGGTGGACAACTTTTAACCAGCTGCCACTAGCCACTAGTTGCCCAGAACTTGCTATCAGCCAGCAGGAAGGGAAATCTAGAAGGCTGGGCTTTCAAAATACCATGTGTCCCCGCAACGGTCTCTACACACACGAGAACAAGCTGCACGAAAGCCCTCACTGCCTTTGACGCTGGGCAGTGGACACAGCACGTGGCACGCAGAGCAGCGTCGGGACTTCGTTCCCCAGAGGACAGCATCTCCCCAGGCACGGCGAGAAGGCGCTTCCAGCCTGGGAGCTACACTAACGGGAGCGGCAGACCCGCCAGAAGGAAGGTGGTCAGGAGGCGGTGCCAACGCAGGGCCAGCAAGGACCGCGGGGAGGACGACCGAGGACACGGGCAGAGTCTCCAAGCCTGCCGAGGCCCCAGAAGGTCAGGCACGCGCCAGGACGGCGCCTCCCTTCCCAGACATTCCCAACCCACCCTCTGCCCCGGACGCCTCACACCTACTAGGTTTTCCTTATTGGCCAACACCAGCTGGAAAAGGGTCACCCAGGCAGCTGCTCACGAATTTCTCTAGTTAATTCCAAGCCAGTTTTCTACGCTCCAGCATTCAGCTAACAACATGCCCCCTTGGTTTACCCCGTACTCACAGGTTTTCTGGCTCGGAGTTAAAGGGATCAGCATTAATTAATAATCGACTGATGACTGAACCTCCAGGCAAGGAACCAGACATCCCGGCGCGAACATCTGTAAGGGAGGAAACAGGAGACAGTACTGCCTGGCGGCTCCCAAATGAAGAGGCCGTCGTGTCTTTGAGGCTAATGGTCCACATGTTCTTCAGAAGGTTATTATAATAAGATGTTTCTAAAATACCGCATAAAAATGTCCAAACTTTGACAATTAATAGTCTCAGGGCAAAAATCGCTGTCATAAATCCATATTCACAGAACAAAAATGAACGCCGGGTGGTAACCAACACCTATGAGACACATCAGAAAAGACCTTACAAAGATAGTTCTCACTAATTTAAGAAACTCCACCAAAATGATCCCTACTGCAACTAATCGTAGGGTCTAGTCATACAACTTTATAAGGCTAAATTCATGAGAAAAGGTTAAACAAGGAACCCTCCAGGTGACCAGAACCCTCAAGATACCTGCACCAATTTAAAAAATTTAAATTATAAACAGTAAGGCTGAGATGGAGCCCTGCTTTTGAACATTCTGCCAATCCATCCCTTCCAGTAACATCTTTGCTGCTTATTAACCAAATCTGTCTCAGCCTCTTTTCCCTAGAGCTTCCGCAATTTTCTTTCTATTCAAATGAGATTCACCTAGCGATTGCCAATCACTTACAGGAGCAGCGTGTGCTCTAGCTTTTGCCCAGCAGGCCTCACGAAGCGGCCTCAGGAAGCTGGTTAAGGGACCATTCCCTCCTACTACAGACACAGAGTGTTATCGTGACTCCCCCTGAGGGAAGAAGCAACAGGAGCTGCCTTGACATGATCCTGGGCGAAATGAAGGCAAGGCAAGGGCACTGGGCCTGACTCTCCCGGTGGCCAGCTGTGCTCCTTCTGCAATCATGCTGGAAACAAAGGGGTGATCCACCGGCTCCCCGTCACGACCTGCCGGCCCTTCCCTCTTCACTCAGCCCAACCCCTATTTACCCATCAGAACCCAGCTCGAGTATCACCTCCTCAGTGACATCTTCCTGGGACCCCAGGGCAACGATTTGAATGCCGTCTGCTCTTTGTAATAAACAAGAGCACTTTTCATACCGTGACATGACTCTGAAATTCTGCCTATCTTTCCCATGGATCTGTGAACTCTTGGAAGACAGGGGCCTGGTCTCGTTAACCCCTCAGACTACTGCCAGGCAGAGCGACAGCTGGGCGCTGAGCTGGAAAGCTTAGCGCCCTGCCTGCGCCCCTCCCCCAGACACACAGTGCGGTGCCGCACTCACTGGGGAACAGGATCTTCGTGTTCAGTGCTGGCAGGCTGTCCCGGTTTCCTGACTGCGAAGGAAGAGAGGCAGAACCGCCCAGGGACAAGCTTCCTTTGCTTATCAGCTTTTCACACGGGGATTTGGACACTATGAGAACAGAACAGAAAACAGAATGCGACTGAGCTACTGGCAGCGTTCATCAGAGAAAGGAGCAGGCGGAGGGGGGCCAAGGGAAGCGAGGAGTGGGCACAAGCGCCACCAGCCGCGGCCGAGTGTGCAAGACGAGGAGCGAGGCAGCGAGCAAGGAGGGGAAACGAGAAAGGGGACGCAGAGGCGAGCGGGCTCGGGCACCCGCCAAAGAGACACAGGCCCCTGAGGGGCTGGGGCCGCGGTGATGTGAGGTGACCTGACGAGGCCAGGGAGGGGGAGGGGCGGCCTGCAACCGCAGTCGGGCCGCGGGGTCTGTGCACGGGCAGAGGGGAGTCCTGCACAGGAACGTGGTGGAGGAAACTCTGGGGCAGGATCTCCCGGTGGCTCGTAAAGGCCACGAGCGAGGGGGCCGCACAGAGTTGGGGCTGTTCCAGGAGGGTTAGGGGTCCCCAGGTGGTGGCCCGTACAGCTGGGTGGTCCCTTACCACCTGGAGCAAACGTGGCATATGGCCAGCTGCAGCCAGGAGGCCCCAGGCCCTGGGTGAGGACCCCGGGCGCGCAGGGAGGTTCAGAGGGAAGCGCCGCCCCAGTAGCAAGGTCGCCCCCTGCCCAGGGTCCCGCCAGGCCTGCACCAGGCGAAAGGAGGTGGTATGTGAGACAGGTCGCCTGTTTGAGACTTTTTACACTTCCAAGTGGCCACAGAAACCGTAAGAAAGCACCCGTAAGCTTCCCAAGGCAAGCTTCTGAGCAGCGCAGACAAAAAGGCCTGATGGCGGCGCCGCGGGTCACGAGGGCCACTGTACCTCTGCGGAGGCTCCTGCCCTTGGCAGCGCCGTGGCCCTCGCCGTGGCCCTCGCCGTGGCACGCTCTGTCGTCCGACTTCAGGTCCTTCTTCTCCTCCGACTCGGAGAGACCTAAGATGAACCCCTCGTGCTCTTGGGTCTGGGCGTTCTGCTCGTCCACAGCTGTGCAAGGCAAGGGTATTTGCGGCTGAGTGCACGGACGTTACCCCGCAGGCATCACCGGGCTGGCGGGGCTCCCACTGGACGCGGACCCCCTCCTCATCTCACTCATCTCCCTTCAAACGTCGTCTCGGCTGAAGGCTTAGACCCGAAGCTCCGACCCGTCCCACTTTCTCCCCGGCCCCGGCACACAGGGCACCGGGACACTCGTGCCAGCTGGCTGGGGAGGAGGGCCGAGGGCTGGGAGAGACAGAGGGGAGGGGAGTAACGAGCGAGAGCACGCACAGCCCGGAGGGAACAGTGCACCCGCCAGTGCGCAGGGGCAGGTCACGACCTCACTATTCTCACTGTAAGAAGCAGCAGGTCGATCTGCTCAGAGAGAAAAGGGTGTGATGAGAGCAGAAAAGGTATGAGATGGTTTCTGAAGGTACCGAGAGATAAGACAAGAAAACTTGCTGGGGAGGATCTCAGGGTCTGGGTGAGGGTGGAGGTAATGCAGTTCACAGTCACTGTGGTTTTACAGTGTTCTCTTCAAAGCTTAGCAAACAGAGTCTAGGAAAAGGGAGCGATCGACTGGGCGAGTCTCTAACCCTATGCAGGGGTGCCTCTCTCCCCCAGGCCGACTAAGGACATTCAGCAGTGGCATCAGGGGACACCAGGGCCGATGACCTGTCCAAGCCCCGGGCCCCTCGACCACTGGAGCCGGCGCCTGCCTCAGACACCACAGCGCAGACGCCCCCCCCGCCTTTTTTTTTTCTTTCTGTTAAAAGTATTTTGTCTTGTTTTAATATTTCATCAGCTTTATAGGGTTACAACTGTCTTAAATATTTCTGCTTTAAATACAATCTGCACATAATGTTATAAAATGTAAACTTTCAGTGTCCTTTTCAATTTCAAAATCACACCTTTTTTTTTTCTTTTTTTGGTCTTTTTTTCCCCCCTCCCTTTCAATACCTGAATGTCCTGCAAAAACTGAAATAAATCGTCACAGGCTGCCCCACCATGGCCAGGGCGCAACAGGCTGGGCCCGGCCAGAGGTAGAGGGTAGTTTTACATCTTTTTATTGGAAGTTTTTTCTCCCTTTAACCTGAGTTCAGGCGCCATCCCCACGCCCTCTGACAAACCCCAGAGAAACTGAAATTTCACATGTCAGGAAAGAAAGGCTGAAGTCGTGTTTGCCAACAAAAAAGGCAGAAGCAAAATTAAGTGGAGGAAGAAAGAAAGGATGGTAGTGGGCAAAAATGCTACCAGTGAGAAAAGGGGCTGTACAAATGCACAACTGTTACAAGCAAACCACCCCCCCCCCAAGAGCCGGACAGCTACAGCCCTGCGGCCGGTTTGGAGGTCACAAGGAAGCCTCTAGAAGCAGTTCATCCACAAGCACCTCCAGAACGGGGGGGCCCCTGGAGCCCCTCTCCACCCTGGGTTTGGGGGGTCCCCACCCTCAGCGTGCTGCTGAGCCCCGCCTGTTCTGGAGTGGACAGCACTCAGCCCCCAACCCCTTACGTCCCGGTTTGCATAAGGGGTGCTGAGCGGCACCCCGGAAACCCCCCCGACAGGCAGCGGCGGGGCTGGGGGGCGCCCCAGGCAGAGGCAGGGCCCCTGGGGACTGAGCGCCCGCTGGCCCCAGGCCCCACTCGCGTTTCCACAGCTGGTGGACTCCCCCTGCCCCGTCCCCTACAATCATCAGCATCGCCCAGCACCGCAGGCACACACCGAGTTAGACCCGGGGGAAGGAGCCTCCCCTGCGGGACACCTGCTCCCCCAGACACCCGCGGATGCTCAACAGGACGCACGGGGGTGGGACCCTGAGCTGGGGGCTGGTGGGGGTGGGCAGCCAGGCGGGGATTCTGGCATCAGAAGTCAGACCTGAGGCAGAAAGAGACTCGCAGCGGGGCTGCCCACCCGCCCACCCACGTGCTGGCAGAATGGGGGGTGGAGGGCAGCCACCCGCGCTCCTGCGGTCAGGTGTCCCCCCGTCTCTGAGCACCGCCCCGGTGCGCCCGGCCTCCGACCCCATCCTCACCTCTCTGTCCCTCACATCGTCCTACAGCCTCATCCCCCACCTCTGGCCCAGGCCCACCTCCCTCCTGGGCACGGGGCCGTCCTCCGCGGGTGTCCTCAGAACACCTCAGGTCCCAGCACGGAGGCTCTCCTCGGACCCCCCGCCCCCAGAGACAGTCCCACCTCTAAGCGGACAAGGCCCGGCTGCACCCGAGGTCTGCCAGAGCTGCCACAGGTGAGGACACTTCCAGGGAGTGGGTCCCCCAACACGCTCCCCGCGTGTGCCCGCGCGAGGCACCTTTCCACCAGCTGGGGGCGCCCTCTCGGCTCTGCCGTCCGCTCAGTGTCTTTCCATCGGGCACAGGCCCTGAGGAAGGAGGCGCTGGCCTGCGTCAGGCGGTCCAGAGCGGCTCTGGCCTACACGGTGGGTCCCTCTGTGTCTCGCGCCACGTTCAGGGGGAAACTGGGAGCGCCCGGGGCTGGCCTGCAGAAAGCCCCGCGGCATCCAGAGCCCGGCTACCTTTCTCTGTGTGCTCTATGATCTGGCGAATCGCCTTCTTCAGGCTGTTGGCTCTCAGCATGAGCTGCTCCCGAGGACGGAATATCTGCGGCCGGGCTGGGCAGGCCGACCCCACGGCACGGTCCCCGGTGGAACTGGAGCCACAGCTGCCGCCCGCCCCCTCCCCGTCTTCCGCCTCCTCGGCGATGGTGGGGGGCGGCGTAGGCAGAGAGGACGAGGCCTGGGACTCGTCATCCAGGGTCTTGAGGAGAGAATCCAGCTTCTCTTTCAGGACAGAGCACTGGGCGGGGAACAGAGGAGGGAGTGGAGGGGCTGCTGCCCCGCCCTGACACCCACCCCAGGTGCCCAGGACGCACCTTCTTGGCCATGACCTCCGACTCCTCTGAGCTCTCGGTGGTCTTCTCGTAGGCCTTCCCCACCCGAGCCACGAAGTCCTTCACGGTCTCGCAGAGCACTCTGTGGGGGGAACGCGGGAAGAGGCTTCTAGAGAGACAGTCCTGGCTGGGACCCTGACTCCCCTGAGGCCGCTGGGCACTCACTTGGCTGATGAGATCACCACCGAGTGCTGGTCGGAGGTCAGGATCTTAGAGAGATGGGCCGCGACCGAGTCTTCATAGAAGAGGATCTGCTGCACCTGCCATTGCCCCAAACAGGGCGGGCGACTGTCAGCCCCACGATGGAGCCCGGTGAGCTCGACACTAACCCCCGCCCCTTGCCGGCCAGCCCCAGCTCACTTCACGCTAATCTGACAGATTTCAAAAGCTTCACAGAGCTGTGGATGAAGGGATCTTAACAGAAAAGAACACGGTGATAAAACCTCGTGAATGGCTCGTGCTGCTTTCGTCGGAGATTCAACACCGCCAGCCTGTGCTGGACTGGAGTCCTGAATCCCGCGTCCTCCTCAGCAGTACAGGCAGCAGGCAGGGTCCTCAGCTGAGGCTCCAGTCGCATTTCTCTGCCTGGCTGGAACTCGGCCCGGGCCCCTCTCCACCTCTCGATACAAATCACCCCCTTCACCGCTCACCCCTGCCTGCAGAACTGGGGTCGCTCACCCTGTGTGACGAGCCCTCTCTTTAGACCTTGGCCCGGGGTTGGCCAACTTTACTACTGGCCGGAGAGTAAATATTTAGGCTTTGTATACGTACGTACGCTCCCTCTCTTAAAACGTGCAAACCATTCTCTGCTCTCAGGCCAGGTCACAGCAGCCCAGGCAGGTGTAGCCTGGGGGGCTGTAGTTTGCCAACTGCTGCCCTTGACCCTCCTGAGGGGCAGACGGGCCCTGGCAGAGCCCTCTCTCCTGGTCAGCCAGCAGCCAGCTCGCCCAGTGGGGTGAGCATGGCTGGGCGCCCAGCGCTGCGCCCGTCTGGCCCTGAGCGACCACTGAAGACAAACCAGCGCAAAGTGAAAGGAAGGGTGAACGTTGAAGTAGCACAGACCAACGGCAGGGCAGGACGTGGAGGAGGCGGGCCCAGAGCGGGAGCCTGGGCTGGGCGGGGGCACCAGCAGCAGGGGCGGCAAGTCCGAGAGGGCCATCATCACAGAGGACCCCAAATCCAGCAACACCCCAGGAGGCCCCCAGACGACCACCAATCCTGTGGGGCAGAGGCCATGGGCTGCAGCTCCACCTCGGCTGGCCCTGCGCCTGTGCGGGTCTAACCTAGGGGAGGATGTCTAAGGGTGGAGGCAGGGCCCCAAAGTGGTGAGGACAGTGTGAGCACGCGGCAGGGCAACTGGAAATACCTCGGAGCCCTCACTCAAGTCTTCGGTGACAGTGGAAGAGGAGGCTGGCCGGGGGAGTTTTGTCTCGTAGGCCATGACGCTCCACCTGCACATACAAAGGAGCTCTCAGCAGGTCGGCTCGAACCCCCAGGCAGGCCCCGTGCCTCTCCCACCTCCCCGACTCATGGCCTGGGGGCTTGATCTTATGACAGCCCTAACTTCATTTTTAAGCATTTATCTTGACTCCCGTGTCCCTAACCTGGCTCCTCACTTAGCTGAGAACAAACGTCACAACCCATTGGACACTGCAGCTCCACTGAAGGTGGTGAAAGGCATCCCATAATGCTGCTTCTGGGAAAATGGGCTTCCCCTCTTCAGAGCTAAAATCACTCAGCCAGCAGCCAGCTCTCCCGTGGGGGCTGAGCATTTCACAGCCTCCAAAGGCACGTAGGCCTCCCTTCAATAGAGAAGAAACAGTAGAGGCAGCTGGAGAGGGTTCAAGACCACACCTGCTTATTGCAGCGCAGGAGCCTAAGAGAGAATACGGGCATTTCAGCAATACCAGGTCCCGCAGGCTGTGGTCAGGGGCTTTCATATGTGAGCTCAGCACTAAGAGCAGCTCGCTCGAGAAGACCCAAGTTACTTCTAAACACACACAGGAGAGCTGTCCAAAACTGAGATTCTTCTGGGAACACGGGATTGCTCAGCTGTGCAATAAGTCTTCCTTATTGCAAGACTCTGCTGACAGGTATCAGACGAGGCTGCAAAGGCCAAAGCGGACAGGGCCACCTTCTCTAACGGCCCAGAGGATTGGGCCTGGCTGGTGAGACCTGACCGCTTGAGGGCACAGTGCCAACCTGTTCTGCTCGTCAGCTCTTTCATAATCTGATCGCCAGGTAAAGCCCACCAGAAACAAGGATTCCTGCTCAGGCCGAATTTTTACAAGTAACTGCAGAGGGCCTATGGTTTCCAGGGACCCTGGGTTGAGAACACCTAGTCAAGGGGACTCGTGCGGTCCACTCACCTGTCCAGCATCTTGGTGCTGGCTCTTTCCAGCTTCTCCAAGATCTGCGGGAGCTGGGTGTCATCGTCACAGGCTGAGCCCCAGCCTAACACGCGAGCCAGGTCATTCCCTGTGCCGAGGGGCAGCACTCCCAGCTGACACTGAGACACGGGGGGAAGACATGGCATCAAACACCCTCCTTTTCACCTACAAGGTGTGAGGTCTGATCTCACACGGTGTGGTGCTCGCATTCCAGGCAGAGCCACTAGGCAGGACAGATGTCTCTCCAATCCGACAGAAAATTCCTCTCCCACCCACAGGCCTGCTTCTCATCTGCTGCCACATCTGACAATCAATCCTCTACAACCTCCCCGATCTACATTCCCACCTTCACAGCTGTGGCCACAGTGCTGACTGCTGAGTATCTGAACCCCCGAAGAATCAGTCTGTACGACTCCCCTCCTCCTGCTTCTCCGCCCTCTACAGCACCACACTAACTAACACCTTCCTTCCCCTCACAGCACCTTCCACGGCTTTAAGTCCTATCAAGACAGGCGCCAGGACTTCCAGTCTGGCCGTCAAACTGGAGCACACCCTGGCACTCGGCCTGCACCCCCCTGCCCGTCACTCCCCAGAGACCCCCTGCACTGCTCAGGCCCCACCCTCCACCTGGAATTCCCACCCAGAGCCCCCTGTGGAAACCCCACCTCGTCAGTTCAGTGCTTAGGAAGCTCCCCAGACACCAGTTGCCCAAGAGCCTTCGACCTCCGAGCCTGACACGCAGGGTGGGGGAGGGTCCCTGGTCCCCCCTGAGCACGGCACAGCCCGCGGTCACCTGCCGCAGCCACTGAGGGAGGCCCTCCACCCTGCCAGGGACAGCAAGCTGGACAGAGCAGGTGAGGAGGACAAGGAAGCCCCAGCACCGGGGGGAGGCGACCCGGCGCCGGCTTCCGGGAGCCTTAAAGGAAAGGAGCAGGCGGCACGGTGAAGGGACAGTGGCGTTCCGGGAGAGGTGACCCCCCACCAAGTCAGAGCTCAGACTGGAAGGGCAGTGAGGAGAGAGCAGTCAGAGAAGCAGAGGAGGAAGAAGGAGCTGAACTGGGGCCTCACTCTGAGTCCGGACCTTCTCCTAAGGCAAGGAGCCACCGGGGAGCGCTCAGCAAGGGTGCAGGAGCAGAGCTGTCCCAAAGAAGGTCCTTGGGGAGGTGGGGACCGGCGCGGTCCGAGAGGCTCAAGGAGGTGCGTGAGCAGAACGGCCCGAGGGGAAGGCCCCCTCGAGGAGTGGACAGATGGAGCCCGGGGCCAGCCAGACGCGCTCAGCAGCACACACTGCTGTGCTGGACACTCCAGGGCGGCAGGTTAACCAGGACGAGGAGGGAGGGTGAGGGAAGGCTCAAGAACCACTGTCAGATCTCCGGCTTGGATATCGGGTAGGATCACGGGCCACAGAGAAGTCAAAGGAAATGATGCTCCCTGAACTCAGCTGAATGCATGAAGACCTGTCTTCCTGACTTGTGATAATGAACTTGGTAACAATCCTGGAAGTGAACAAAACCTAAAATTGGACCTAAGTGTACTGCTCTAACTTTACCACGAGGGGGCAGTGCTCTCTTTCCCGAGCAACTGGCCTCCCTAGAGCTGAGCAGTTACTTGCACACCCAGGGTCCCCACTCCAACGTCATTCCAGGAGCTAAACGCTGACAGCAAAAGGTCCACCCTGCCTACAAAGACCACCAACGTGTTGAAGGACAAGTGACAAATGAGGAAAAATATGGGCAACAAGGAGTTCACATCCCTAATATAACAATAATCCTTAGAAATCAATTTTTTAAAAAGGTAAATACCCCAATATTAGGTTAAAAAAAAAACATGAACAGATGATTCATTTAAAACTTCATAGTTAATTGAGGATATGCTTGACTTCACCAGTATTAAATAAAAATGAAACATACCATTTTTTGTCTACTAAGTTGGGCAAAAGCCTTAAGATGTACAGTGGACAGCATATGCGAAAAGACAGTTTTATGAGCATTAGGAATAGAAACTGGAGAGCAGTCTGGCAATATCACCAAAATTTACATTTGGGCGCTCTTCAAAAGAGAACATAATTGGGACATTGTATACATGGTTTTCACCAGCACTGTCATTATGAAGCAATCTGAGTGTCCATCCATGGGGGGAGATGAGCTAAACCCAGGGCTGGCGCAGCCCTGCCCAGTGGAAAACCATCACATAGGCCTCCATTTAAACTGATGGATCGAGAAGTGCCCACAATGTGTTGATTAAAAACTGACAGGGTGGGCTTCCCTGGTGGCGCAGTGGTTGAGAGTCCGCCTGCCGATGCAGGGGACACAGGTTCATGCCCCGGTCCGGGAGGATCCCACATGCCACGGAGCGGCTGGGCTCGCGAGCCATGGCTGCTGAGCCTGTGCGTCCAGAGCCTGTGCTCCACAACTGGAGAGGCCACAACAGTGAGAGGCCTGCATACCACAAAAAAAAAAAAAAAAAAAAAAACTGACAGGGTACCATGAGTCCATTTAAATTAAAACTGCATTGCACACTGTACTGTATATACATTTTGATAGAGAGAGGTCTGAAGGATAGTTACTGAAATGTTGGCAGCGGTTCATTATTGGGGGCGGGGGTGTGAGGGAGCTGGAGCAGAAAATAAATCAACACTTAAAAAACAACCCTACTCTGACCTGAAGCTCAAGTATACTTCTGAGCCCCGCTCGCCAGCAGGAGGCATCAGGCAGTAGGCGACATCACTACCCAATAAGGAGCCGCACCCAGATCTGCCCGTGCCCGGAACCTGCAGGGATGGAGGTGTTCTTTTTGTTGGGTCCCTGGGCCCATAACGCCATCAGGCTACCTGCTGTTCCCTCCAAGACCACCCCAAGGGGACGAGAAGCACCTCCTGAGATGACCCAGCCTCTCTGTAACGGTGGCATCACTCTCCCGTGGGGCCGGCCCCTCCAAACCCAGGTACCTGTTTGTGAAGGTTGAGGCTGTCGATTTCAGAGAGGACCCAACCAACACTGCCATCTCCACCACAAACCAGAATCCGGAACGTATCAAACTTCTGGAATAAGCGTAGGCTGCAGAGAAAACAGAACGTCAATGAAATGAGGTCCATTTAAAGGACAGGTAGCCGACGGCCAGTCAGTCTGGGGCTGGGGGACACCCTCTGTGCTCACGGCCGACCCTGCGGCCTGTCCCGCGAAAAAGCCTCTCAGAGGCCGGAGCCCGGCTGTGCTCAGGCTCCGCCCACTGGGGGCCCGCCAGGCGCCTGAGAGCAAAGGCCGCAGGTGTCTTCAGGAGCCCCGGGCTGCAGGATCCTGCCCACGCTGTCCCTGTCCTCTGGGCCACTCCGCCCACCCAGGTGACGACACACCCCGCGCCCCTCGTGACTCCAGCTCCGTCTCCTTCCTGTGATCCTCTTGGCAGCCCTGCCCCTCGCTCACAGCGTTCCTCCCAGGACACCCAGCAGCCTTCTGTTCACTCCCCCTTCACTCCCCAGCCGCTTCCTGGGTGGCCTTATCCGCGTCTTGGCTTCAGGGACGACACAGATGCTGATGACCCTGAATGACCCTGACGATGATCCCTCGGCTCTCCTGAAGGACACCTGCCCTTGTCTACCAGAACGTGCCACTCGGTGTCGCACGGGCGCCTCCTCGACCGACGTTTCCTTCCTCAGAGAAAGGCAGAGCCAGCACCAACCCAATTACCGGGCAGCCCCGTTGTCCCCTCTCGCAACCCCTCCAGGAGCCTCCTACCTGCCTCCCGTCTCCTTCAAGATGCCTCCAATTCGTGCTACCAGCCTCATCTTCCCAAAACCAGTGTCGTCAGGTGTCCGGCTTTGGAAGGGGCCGGTTGCTTCCAGGAGAGGTTCAAACCTCTCAGCGGCCCCCACGGCCCTCCCTGGCCAGGAGCTGCTACCATGTGTCTGCACCTCTGCACACAGCCCACCCTCTGCCTAGAGGGCTCCCTGCCTCCCTCCCCATAACCACGAACTCTCCTCAAATGCTAGCTCGGCGGGGAAACTGAGACCCCCATCTGACTCGTAAGCCCCTTCTCCTGGTTCCCAAAGAACCTGCACACCACACTGCCAACAAGACAGATCGCCTGCCTTGGGCCTGGACTGTCCGTCCGCACCCGTCCCCGGCAGGCAGGGCGCCCCCTTGGCCGGGCTTTGCATCCAGCACAGACCGAGCGGGCGGAAGGCCTCAGACAACAAATAGGACCAGGTGACAGGGAACTCCGGACGTAACAGAGGGGCGAGGCTGCACCTGACCTTCAGGCTGGGAGAGAAGCAGCCACACGTGTCCTTTAAGAACACTGACCTCCCTCAGGCCTCCCGCTCTCTGGAGAAGAGGGGACACGTCAAGGCCAGGAATCAGGAAAATGAAGCAGTATCTCTAAGTTTTCTTAGGAACAGTGTGAAAGCAAGGCTGCTTCCCAGAAACGGGACCTGTCTAAGCCAAGCGCACCGCACCTCTGCGGGTCTGCACCTGAATCGTCCTGTCTCGTCCTTAACACCTACTACTGGCTGTGGTGCTTGCATGCTTCTCCAAATGAACACATGCTCATTCCGCCGTCCTACTGTGCAGCCCGCCCTGCCCAACACCCCTTCGTGGCATTCCTCCAACATCCCTGGCACCTCGGGGAGCAGCGGCCTGCACCTGTCTGGTGCATCCCCGCAGGGCACCTCCAGGGAAGGGGGTGCTGTCACCAAGGAAACAGGCTAGAGAGCTGCCGCCGGTGACCATTCTCCAACAGCAGGTCTCTCCAACCAGACCCAGGCTCAGGTCACAGGAGCACCCAGCTCCAAAACCAACACCCTCCAGGGAACCTCCCAGGAGCACACCCCACCCCCACCCCCACCCCAGAGAGCAGGCTCTGCGGGCACTGTCCGCTGCAAACATCCTACACCACCTCCCACACGCGCCACGAGGCTCGCAGAGCTCCCACCTGGAGCCGGTGCTTCCAAACGGGGAAGGAGTTGGTTCAAATGCCAGAATTTACAAAAGCAAACGTTTTCCACAAACCTCTGGATCGTATAAAACTAGAAAGCGCACATCAGGTCTCTTACTTTGCCAGATACACGGGGCCTTGCACATCTGCATGTCATGGCACCTGCAACTTAAGTAAACTCAAGTGCCCTCTAAAATGAAAAATCTCCCTTTTGGCCTCACTGGAGAAAAGCTTCCTACTCGATACTAAGCAGCCGTTCAAAAAAATGAGGCAGATCTGTAACTACTGACATCAGAACACATCCACACTGCTGTCGGCTGACACCCATAAAAAGCACACCGCACAAGGGCAGGTAACCTAGGCCCCCACCTGGTTTCAAAGTCTGTGTGTGCACACGACTGAAACACACACTGGAATGTTGGAAGGACACACAACTCTATGAAACATTCAGAGTGGACACCTCTGCCAGTGGAATTTGGGAAGGGTAACTTTTATTTCCTATTTTAAATTTTCTGTATCTTTGAATCTTTAAATAAGCACGCATTTTCTTCAAACGCTTTTTAAACTCCAAGAAAGATATATTTTACAAGCTTCCTACCCAAGGTGTGGTCCTCCATTCATGAGGTCAAAGACCTGGGCAGGGTTCAGCAGCTGCTTAAATCTTCTGAGGAACTTCACACCCTGGTTGTCCCCACTTTTTGAATTGACGAAGACCAACAATGGACTCGTGCAGGATGGAGGACACGTGGCCTTCCAGAAGCCTGGGTGTGAGGATGGAAAAGGACACAAGAAAATCTGAAAGCCACGAAAGACAGGGCGCCCTCAACCGTGTACCAAGTAGACACCCCCCGTGGGACCTACAACTTACACATACACACCCAGGAAACCAGCAAGACATTAATCCACGTTTCCACAACACCATCCCCCGTGTAGAGGGAAGTGAGTCCTCATCTGGTCTGACCTCACCTTTGCAGGACTCTAAGTGTCAGACACTGCTCTCAATCTAGCAGAGGTGACTTCCTGAGACACGTGCCCCGGTTCCCAAGTTCCCACCAACACTTGTTAATATGCATCATCGTGTACCATCTGGACAAGCGAGCGCAGAGGCGGAAGAGCGTGTAATATCAGCTACTAGACGAGCCTAGTTGACGGACAGCCCACGTCAAAGACGGAGAAGCATCTTAGACTCGGTTTCTACTCAACAGCCAATGGACCCACCTTCAAGTAAGGTCCTGGCCTTGAGTCCAAGGTGCCCAGAAGCCCAGCTGTCAGGACACTGTTCATCACCTCCTCTCCTCTCCCCACAGTGGCTGGGCCTGACCTCTTCCCGACCGCATCTCAAAATCACTGACATAACCAATTCCAGAGCGGGGGAGGGGAGAAGGCCTGGAGAAGGAAGCACGAGGAAATGGCTGAGACGGGAGAGCGTGTGGTACCCACCATCAGAATCGATGCTGTTGAGAGCGGTGGGCGGGATGACCGACACTTTGCACAGGCCCAGCGGGCACTTGGTCAGTAAGGATTCTTTACACGCCGTGTGCACCTGGAACACGGACCCGCTCGTCACAGGGGGCGCCGGCATCCCTCCCACACCCCAGAGCTCTCCCCAGCCCTGCCGCTGCAGGAGCTATGCTCTCGGACCCGGCCGGCCTGTGCCCATCTGGCATTTGCCCAGCAGCTGTGCTCGCTCACCATGGCCTTGCACCAGAGGCAGCGCCAGTCCTGAAGACGCAGCACGCTGCCACAGGTCTTGTCACACACTGTGCACTTGGCGCTCACGGGCAGGTTCCCCTCCAGCCACTGGTGAGGCATGGCGATCTGCAAGCCACACAGAGACATGCACCGGGGGCGTCCTCACAGCCTCCACGCAGGCCAAGGGGACCCTCAGGCAAAAATGCTCCAAAATGAATTCCACGAGGGGGTGGGGCAGGGTCTGCAGAGCCCTGTCCAGCCCACTGCTCCCTGCCGGCATCCACAACTCACAGGGACTGGCCAGAGCTCAGGGCCTCCAGACACCAGCGTAACCAACCAAGGGAAACCCTGCCCTCACTGTCCTCAAGAAAGAAACTTGAGCACAGGCGGGAGGTGGTGGGCGTGCCTCTCGCCCCGGTGCTAGGAGGGCCGTGCAGGGTCCCCGGGCATACCCCGTCCTCGTCCTCGATGATGTCCTTCCCGATGGAGGCCAGCGTGGTCCACTTGCAGTTACTGGTCGCACGCACAGCACAGCGTTTGTGGGCCTTAAACTTACACACTGTGAGAGAATGAACACGTTAACCCTCGGAGCTGCGGCCATGGTCTGGGGTGGACTGCCCTGCTCTCCTGGGAAAGTTGGGAACCAACATATATGGTTAGTTTACTCATAAACGAAACCACCAGGATGCGTGCAGAGACTGCTCACGGGGAGACCAGGCATCCAGCCTGGCCAGGGGGCGGCAGGCTTTCTGTGAAGGGCCGGAGACAAAGCAGCTCAGGCTCCACGGGCCAACCATTCGGCTCTGTCCCCGCAGCACAAGGGCCGCCGTGGCCACACTTCACATACGGACACTGAAATTTAAGTTTCACGGGATTTTCTGCGTCACAAAACAGTTGCCTTCTTTTGATATTTTTCAACCTTTTAAAATTGTAAAAACCATTCTTAAGCTCACAGGCTGTACGACATCAGGCGGCAGGTGGGAACTGGGCCCGGGGCCACGGTCCACCTCTCTCTGCTCCTGCCCAAGCCCAGGGCTCTATCCTCTAGATCTGGAGGACCATTTACCCAGAGAGGGGCTGAGAGAGACTTTAACTCCTTTTTCCCTGTGTCCTCTAGGTTTCCTCTTTGTGTCTCATTACTACCAATTCCCTTCTTTTTACTTTGTTCCGTTACTACAAATAACAATTTATCAAAGACTCCTGAGCAGGCACAGTAAACAAGGGTGGAGTCATACAAGCCACTCTACTCCTGACTGACCTGAGGGGACTGTGCTTGGATTCCTAAGGCTCTGTCATGTCAAACCTCAGGCCACTTTTCCCAGCGGGAAACTCATCGTTCGTACCTTCACAGGACAGTCCGTGGGACGTGACCCCAGACAGAGCCTCTCGGCACACATTGCAGTAGGTGGGCCTCGCGTGGGAGCAGGCGTACCAGTTGTGCATCCCTGAGAAGTGGTCCATGCTGTACTGGGTAGGCTGCAAACAAAGAACAAAGATGGCAAAGATGAGGCAACCCTCTGACCTCCCTAAACACAGTAACTTGGACGAGATTCAATAAGAAATCAGACAGGGTCACTGCCCGATGGCCCAAAGATGAGCAACAAGCCTTAAGTTTGCAAGGAGCACGCTGAGAAAGTGAGCTCCAGACCATAACGGCCCAGCATGGGGGACATTCATATGGCAGAATACAAGGGGGAGGGTGACAAAAAGGGAGGGCTTCCTCCCCTAACCTCAAAGTGCTCCCTGCTCTGGACCGTCTTCAGCGCTGCGATCCAGTCTTCCATCTCTTTTCTGTTATCTGCACATAGGATGAGTTTCCTACATGGAGTGATGACCTAGAGAAAGAAACAAGAAACATGCAACATGTCCATGAGCAGAAGACAAATGCTAGCAACTATGAAAACTTTTTAAAAACCTACCTTCACTATATACTTTCTTTTTTCATGAAAAAGTACTGTTTCATTCAGGTATTCAATTGAACAGAACATAAAGATGGTTATCATGGGTCATTAAAAGGCAAGAACAATCTCAAACCAAAAAGACAATCAAATTTAGATTACAGATTCACCAAAATCAACTCAAGTGGACATTTACCAACTATCTACTACTGAGACACGGTAATCAGCCATAGGCAATTTTATTTATTCGTTTATTTATTTATTGCTGCGTTGGCTCGTCACTGCTGCATGTGGGCTTTCTCTAGTTGCAGCAAGCAGGGGCTACTCTTCCTTGCAGTGCACGGGCTTCTCATTGCGGTGGTTTCTCTTTGTTGTGGAGCACGGGTTCAAGGCGCACGGGCTTCAGTAGTTGTGGTGCATGGGCTCAGTAGTTGTGGCTCGCGGGCTCTAGAGAGCAGGCTCAGTAGTTGGGGCACATGGGCTTAGTTGCTCTGCAGCACGTGGGATCTTCCCGGACCAGGGCTCGAACCCGTGTCCCCTGCATTGGCAGGCGGATTCTTAACCACTGCACCGCCAGGAAAGTACCAGCAATTTTTTTTAAAGGAAAAGAAAACACAGTTTCCATTGCACCAAAGAGCTCACAAGCTGACACGTAGCACTTGAACAGTTTAGGGAAGTCTGATCCACAGTTACTGTAGGAATTTCCTGTGCATTTCAAGCCTATCATACATAAATGTTCTTTTAAAAAAACCTTTTACTGTATGACAACAGAACAACAACCAGCTACTACAGTCAGGCCTGAACAATTTAACTAGAAATGAGGTCATGAATCTGGTAATAATCAACAAATGAAAATTATACCTACAACATATAGAGATTTTATAAATCAATAGAAAAAAAGGCTATGAACTTGCATTTCACAAAAGAAATACAAAATGGCTAATAAAGGAATGAAAAGATGCTTAATCACTCTCATCACTGGGGAGCACAAATGAAAACAGCAAACTATTTTTCACCTATCAGATTGGCACAGTTCTTAGAGACAATAATCCAGTGTTGGAAAAGGTGTGAGAGAAGAGAGTTCTCTTCAAGTACTCATAGGAGGGAAACAGAGTATAAACCTTTTAGAGAAAAATTTGACAATGTCTATCAAAATTTTTTTAAGTCAAAACCTTTTACCTAATTATTTTTATAATGCTGTAAAATAGCTACATGGTCCCAAAGTCAAACTGACAAAATAAGGCATTGATTTTATGTGTCCCTCATCCTAGTTCCCTCCCTTCCCGAAAGGCAGCTTGAAAACTAAATACAAGTATGGTTTATCCTCCCATTTGTAAGATACATGCAAATACATGTATATATTCATATTCTCTCTTTTCAAAACAGTAGCATACCACAGACCCTTCTGTCCACTCTCTGCTTTTTTAATTTAATCACAGTTGGCCCTTGAACAGCACAGGTTTGAACTACAAGGGTCCACTTACACGCAGGTTTTTTCCAACAGCAAATATTCCATGACACATGGTTGGCTAAATCCACAGATGTGAACCATGGCTAGGGAAGAACCGCGGCAAAGGAGGGCCGATTATAAATTATACCTGGATTTCCAACTGCGCGGAGGGTCAGGGTCCCTGACCTCTGCGCTGTTCAAGGGTCAGCTGCACACATCCTGGCCATCACTCCTTAGCAAAAGACCGCGATTCCTTATTCTTCCAACAGCTGCCTGGTGCTCCACTGCATAGAAGCACCAGAGTCTGTTCAACCAGTCCCTGTTCACGGAAGGTCTATGTTACTGAAAATCCTTTGCTATTTCGAACAGCAGCACAATGAACAGCCTTTACGTGGATCTTTTCATTTTTTTACTGGGGTATTTCTGGAATAAATTCCTAGAAGTAGAACTGCCCTGACAAAGAATAAATGCATACGTAATTTTGCTGCTATCGCCAAATTTCCCTCCAGTGGGTTTGTACCATTTCGCATTCCCACCAGCAGTGTTAGGAAAATGTCTGCTTCCTCATGGATTCACCTATAAAATACGTTATTTAACTTTTAGATGTTTGCCCATTTTAGAGCTTTAATTTATATAGAAAGATCCAATTTAGGAATACCCAACTTAAGTTATTAGATGATCATGTTTCTGGCTCAGAAAATTTAGAAATAGTATTTTATAGATTATCTCTTCCGTGATTTCCATAAACTACCTACAAAGCTTAATCACAGAAGGGGGTAAATAGAACTGGGTCACAAATGCACGGTGCTGTTCATTCTTCCACAACCGGGGTAACCACGATAATTCCACGTAGGGACCAGGCTGGGTGTAAAAGAGGTAAGCCTAGGAGAGGGTGCAGGGAGACAGAAAGACAGAACACAGAGGCCTGGAGCAGCCGCACCCTCCTGGGGTCAGGTGGTGGGAGCTGCTCTTTCACTCCTGGAGAGCACGGCAGGCGGTTGTACCCCACCCTCCCAGCAGACGCAGGCCAAGTGTCTGCTCTGGACATGGGCTCCCAAGGCCATGACAGGCAAGGTTCCTACTCACACAGAACTTGCACTGAGGAGAGACAGACAAACCACAAAACAATTTCAGACACTGACAGGAAGCGGGTCATGTGCAAGGGGGCTGGTGGGTGCTCTGGACCAGGTGGTCACGGAAGGCCATGGCAGCCTGGCAACCGCCAATGGCCTGGGGTTGGTGCATAAGGAATTTTCATCAGCATCTGTAAGTCTACAAGATCTCAGCAAACACTTCTTTATAATTCACTCCAGGGTGAGTTTTCATACTTGAACATTTTTATGAGCATAATAAATACAGTTACAGAAAGATAGTACATTTATTTTGCATAACTCAGGGATTTATTAGGAGTTACTATGATATCTACAGAAGAGAACAATGAGATTTTTTTATGCCCATCCTATTTTAGGTCTTGACCAACAGATGAATGTCCAAGAACCTGGTTTTCAGCCTTCTTTGTTTAAACTCTTGCGCCTGTTTGAAGATACCTCAGACAGAATCCCACCTGGCCACTGACTGTTTGGGAAACGTTTCCCTTCTGGAAAAGGAGAGGTGTTAGAAGTCACCTGCCAGGGTTGTCACGGGACTGAACGGGGCCAAATGTGCACAGGACCCAGCAGGGGGCCCAACACACCCCTGGTCTGAAGCCCTGTGAGATGTGTAACGTGGAGCAGCTGCCTGTGCCTCCACTTGCTCACCTGAAAACCGGCACTATTAATGGTGCTGTCACATCCTAGCGGTGCTGTGAAGTGTGGGGCAGGGACCACGGAAGGTGCTGAGAACAGCGCCTCGTACGTAAACACCCCACCGCCATTACTCTTGGTGCTACTTCAGGCTCTAGGTCCTGACCTTAGGGTATTTTCTCTTTGATGGAACTAAAAGATGGCTTTTCATGTGGGCAAATCTCCCTGAGACCATTCTGGTGCCAAGAGTCCACCTCCCGATCATGAGAATCATCACAGAGGACACCCATCAAATAAAAATCAACCTCTGCTTCTCTCCGACCACGCCCTGCCACCTTGAGACAGAAGCCGTATTTCTTAGTTGCCCACAAGACGGCTCATCACTCCACTCCCTTGGAGGCTCCGCCTCCCTTTGGTCGCCTGCAAGCTCCTCAAGAGTCCTCCAGCCCTGGGGAAGCTTCATGGGAGAGATGAGGCTGGGAGGGTCTCCTCAGGAGGAAGGGAGAGGGGAGGCTGTTTCTGAGAGAGAAGCCTTGGACAGGACTGCCTACTGAATGAACCCCTTGGTTCTGGAGACACAGCGGGCAGGACAGGACCCAGGAGAGAAGCAGGTGTTGGATGAGTCCGAGGCAGGAAGAAGGCAGGATTCAGGGGAGATGCCCTAAGGAATAATAAGAGTGTCCCTTTGTTTGGGCTGCAGCCAATACTGTAACTCCTAGAAACCAAGGAATGGTGCGAAAAAGCTAGAACTATCTCCAAATCCTAGCCTTCACACAGAAAAGACTTTAGAGACTAAAAGATACTCTAAATTTTTCAAGCAAATTTATATGGTAAGAAACAGTTCACACAACTCAATGAACTTAGAAGGTAAATGCAAATTAAAAGTAGGGTAATAACGTGAACTTAGAACAAATCAGTGACAGCACAGAGATTCAGCGGGCTAGGTCCATGACTGGAATAAGCAGACGTGGTATTAAGAGACGGAGCAGAGGAATACGATGGGGCGAGAAGACAGCCAGCCACGTGGAAACCCACAAACTCAAGAGTGAAAGCACACCACACACCCTGAAGTCAGAACATGAATGAAACAGAAAGGGTATCCCAGAGGAAGAGCAGAGAAAACAGTGGAAGTATTTCTCACATAATCCTCTGAGGAGGCCAGAAGCACAATAAACAGATCTGAATTCTTAGACACTTGCTGGAATTCTCCTGAGGTAGAAAAACTTAAAAGTCAGTAAGAAGAGAAGCAGACCAACTAACAGGAAAACGGACAAAAGACTTCAACGGTTATCTCACAACACTTATTTCACAAGTCACCAATAAGGGACATGAAAAGGTGCCCAACTTGATTAGTCATCTGGGAAGCAGAAATTAAAACCCCCCATGTGGTACACCTTTCATGGTGGCTGAGCTAAAAAAAGCGCTCAGTGTCAAAAGACAGTATGGAGTGCTGGCGACGATGCAGAGCAACCAGAACTCTCATGCGGTTCTGGTGGGAATGCAAGTTGGTATAGTCACCCTGTGGCTCAGCAATTCCACCCATCGGCCCAACAGAAATACAAACATATCTCCTTCTCGTCGAGACACAGACAAGGACTTCATGGCATCACTACTCTTAAGAGGCCCGTACTAGACACAACCCAAATGCCCTGCATGGGTAAAGTGGATAAATAACCTATAATGTATTAGTACAATGGAATACTGCAGAGCAATGAGAATGAACCACCTATTGCTACATGTAATAA